ATTGGTTGTCCTTTGATGTAGCAGCCACTTCCCTTATATATCACCTGTAAAAACAGCACAGAAGAAACACATAAGGTACTTGTGAGTTGGAAAAACCATGTGGTCTATGAGTACAGGTGTATCCGTTAATTCACAGGTGAACCACAGCATAGCAAAGTCTTGTTCTGTAACTTATAACTTTGACGGAAAAGAAAATTTCAAAACAATTTCCCTAATAGGGTGAATAGTGGCATTAGTGGAGGAATTCCAGTGATCTTGGCTATGCAGGTCTTTAAGAGTGAATGGTTTGAACATATGCTATGGTAGGGTTCTATTTCTGTGATCTAATCAATAAAACAAATTATTTGTTGCCACATCTAACACAAGAAAGGGACAAAATTCAATTGCACAATTGCGGTTGTTCCACACGAGTGCTGTTGCCATTTCCGCCGAGATCTAAACAGAAGACGTGGTTGAATTTTGCACAAATTAAAATATTTGCTGGCATCAAGATTGAGCCAAAAAAATGAAGCACAAGTTAAGTAATTTCTTTTCAATGTTTACAAACTAAATCATTTTGTACCTTGTGTGATTGCATTGCATAATGTAATTTATCCAAATTATTGTTTATTTCAATATTTTGTTAATTTATTCAAGGCAAATGACATGCACTCAGAACTGTTACAGCCATCACAATATCAATGCTGTCTCCTTTAAGTCAGACATTCAAATGAATTCAAAGTGCTACAGAACCCTTCCCTCCTCCAAAAAATTTAATCAAAGCAGCTTATATGAAAGCCATTAAAAATATATATATTTCCAAGAAATAAGTGCACAGAAATATACCATCTAGTGACAACACATCATTTTTATCTGTGACTTATGACTTGATAAATGTAAAGTAATATCAGTAAAACTGTATATGGTATGTTTCCATAGCTTGATTGCAAGTAAACATTTTTTATAGATTTTAAAGAACCATAAGTACCCCATGAGCCCTTTGATAGTACCAACTGATAGTACTTTTAAGCATAATTCAAATATTTTTCATGGAAAATTTTGTGTTGATGATCCATCTATCATGGCCTTCAGGGGGACGGGGGGGGGGGGGGGTATTTAATCAATCAGGTATATTGGACAATAGTAAGAAACATGCAGCCAAGATGACATGAATATGGCAGTAGGAACAAGCGCATACATAAAATGCGGATTTGAACATTTGAAATAAAATCCAAATGATTCATTCCATGTCCTGATAAAAAGTGAAACCCATTGGAAGTAAAACCACATCATTTTTCAATTCGATTAACTTTCTGGTTAGTGAGTGATTCATAGAGCTGAATGTCACTTAGTGTGAGAAAATTGAAGCATAAGTTAGTTATCAGAATCCAATATGGGACATATTTGGACAACAAATTAGCAACAAACAATTGATCAATGCTATTCTAATTTAATCAGAGTGACTAACCAGGCGTAACTGCTATAATCAAGATAATAATACAGAGTTCATCCTCCTTAAATGTTTGGGGGTGTGGTCTCCCAAAATAGAGTCGTTAACACTTAATGCATATTTCTAGAAAAATACAATTTTTATTTTTTATTTAGCAAAAAATCTTAATTAATATTTTGTATTTTCCCTTTATTAAATAAGTAATTTTAAACACCCAAAGAAAGCTTTTTAATGAAACAACATAAATTTGACTTGATTTACACACACACACTTATTATATACAGAGGCTATATGTATCTCCATGTGTTCTGACCACTGTGTCTGTCTGTGTTGTCACTGTGGCTGTCCAACACATTTCTAAACATTTCTTTTTACCCTATAGCTGCTAAACCCTATTTTTGTTTTACTTCAAATTTGCTGAGTAGCTTTGTTTGGTAAAAAGGCAAATTCATTTTGAAAATCTGCAAGTTAATTATGATTTTTTCATTGCAATTATTGTTGCAATATTTTTTTCTATTTGGTGTCTGTATATTTTTGCAAGCTTTGTTGTTTAGCTAATAAAAGCAATTTTATGTTTATATCCTTTAAATCTATGATAGGAAAAAATCTCTCAAATGTTCTTAAGGCAATTAAGTAGTGTGAGGTATACATAGAGAATCAGTAAACAACATCACCCAGGGACAGAGTATAGGAGTCTTAAAACTGAATCTTCTTCTAATCAGAATCACCTGTCTAGTTTTCAGTGAACTGTGAAATCCCTTTTTCTCCCAGGTACCTCCCACACTAACAAACAATCTGCGAGGAAGCCATTTGATTATCTGTTTATTTATTTACCTGTAAATCACTTCAAACTGTCCGAATGGGAATGTATTACACCGCAGTGGCAGAGGACAAGTTGTTTATCTTGAGGTGTGTTCACATTGGTTCTAGCTTTATCCAAAAGACCAATTTGTGTCACCAGATGCTTGTGTTGCTAATAACATGTTTTTTTTTTTAAAGACTAAAGCAATGAGGGTTCCAATAAGTCAGTTGTTTCAATTTGTCAGTTTGGAAATCTTCAATATAAATAAGACTACATGTGAACTAACCTTTCAATATTTAACTTCAAGTTTTGACTGTCCTTAAAATAATTTCTTACAATTTGAGTTTTTTTTATTTTGCATAATTAATCATCTTCTAACTTTATAATCCAATATGATAATAACTTTTGTACGATATCATATACAATATTCTAAGTTATAATTATCAGTATTTTCTGTGTGTGTGTGTGTGTGTGTGTGTGTGTGTGAGAGAGAGAGAGAGAGAGAGAGAGAGAGGGAGAGTAATAAGAGTAGAGGCCCCAATGGTAACTGATCCATGACCTTTTCTTTGAAGTCAAACTGCAAATCTGACAAGAATAATTTTCTGAGATATAACAACAAATGGTTTGTCATTTTATCTCCGGGAAATCATTTCTGACAGTGTGATGTAATGCCAACTTGTTTGGGTCCCTCAGGTTAATTTCATGCTTGTTTGTCTCATTTTTGTCAGACTAAGCTGCTGTGTTCGAATTAACAATAATAATAGTATTGCTGAAATTTGGCCACGTAGAATTCTCTTAATTTCAAAGCACATAAAGATAAGTTACCAGCTTTCGTTCTCCTGATGCTCTGTCATAATGTTAAGGCAGAAACTTAATGTTGCTATTGTTTTCTCTATAGTGATTTGGGTTTCAGATCAAGTCTTGTAGCAGACAGCATGTGGCTCATGATCAGTTCAGATTTGAAGTCAATTCAGACAAGGACCACTGTAAACTGTAAATCAGCATACCGACATTAATGATGGCATTTACTGACAAAGAATTAAAATGGCTGAGGCAAAATTCTGTTTTAAAAAAGTCCTAGTGTAAACAGTACTAATAGCATGCAAAACTCTCACTGTGACAAGAACCATTATCGTTCTGGTCCAATTAAATTACTTTTTTCCTACATTTTATCTTTCTTGTCATAGTCGTGAAAACAATTTCAAGCCGATGGTTTGTGCTCAAACTGCATCGGACCAGTGCCAGAGTCATGCAATATTGCATTTTGAAATAAATGTGCCTAACAAAAATAGCAGTAATAAAGGTCTGAAGTCAGTCATGACAGAAACAGTAGGTATCCCAGGGAAGTGTTTGCACAAAATGAATCTAGTTTGTTCTCAGTGGTTACAAGTGGAGAAAAACAACATTCCTACAATTTCTGGCTCAACATTGAGCACCAATTCCCCAAACAGCAGCAGCAGTACTGTGACGTCAACTGCGGTGACAGTTATTTTCTTTTCATGCTGACAAAATGCATTGCCCATGGCAAACTCTGAACCAAGCACTGAGACAGTAAGGCTGGTAAACAGTGAAAGTTCAAACACCTAAGGTGTCGGTAAGAACACTGGGTACGTAGGTTTTATCCATCCTGGTGTTTTTGTCACAATTACGAAGCAGTTGGTGTCAAAATCATTTCCTTGTGACTCCTCTGTCACGTTCACAAGACATTTGTTTTTCAGTGACAAGCAGTGGGAACGAAATAGGTGACATCATCATTGTCTCATGACAACTTCTCCTCCAAGATCTGGGAACAGTTCCCTTTGAGAGGACATTTTTCTGTCATAGTCATCAAGTTTCTGGTGACAGAATTATTGTCTCGTGACTCCCAAACCATGTTCCCATGCTATAGGTAACATAACATTCTACCGATGTGGTAAAATGATAAATGACATTTTCTCGAGCATGTGCATGTTAATGAACCTGTTGCCCTATGTGTCTCCCTGAACCAGGCTGTGGTTTGTATTTTTTGAAGACACCAATTCTGTGCCCTTCTCAGTTTCTTAAAAGCAACCGAGAGAGAATAAATGTGACTTTTTTGCCAATAGCTGATGGCTAAGAACAACACTGCTTTGCCCTATTTAACAGAGTTGGTGCCAATCCTGCAGAAATTAAATTAAACTGTCAAAAGCTCTTTTGAAATAGATTCAACTATTTGAGTTAACTATTCTTAAACCACCAATAACAAAATAAGCCAAAACAAACTACCTTTACTCAGTCTGATTGACAGCACATAAAAACCCAAAACAAACTTAATGAAATTTTGACCAAAAAAAAAACTCCCAAAAACTCCAACTCTAAAAATATCCCATGTCTTCAGCAGAAGAAAAAAAGTTTTCAATCATTTTTTGTCCTTAAAGTGAGTTTGAATGTTTTGGTGGTACAAAAGTGTACTAAAAATACTATACGTAAATTTTTACAGGACAGAAGCAGATGCCCCCTACCTCCCAGACATCAAATTTGCACCTAAACATTTGAAGAATGGCCTGTATCTGCCACTTTCAGTTCATAGGAAACATTTTGACCAACTCAAAGAACACACATCTGGTCAAGTCCTTCAGGGTTTGTTAAAAGAGTTGTATAAAATACCACCAGCAAAATAGTTGATAACAGTTATCAAGGTCATGTATGTGCTTTATTTCTTCTGATGGAAATTATAACCAAGTCTACAAACACCTGAATAATATCAATAAAAAGTTTCTTTTTTATTTTTTCCGTTTCATATTGCTTGATGCCAAACGAGGTTCAAAACTAAAACAAAAATTGTTTAGTCACTAACTTTATTTGTTCTGTACTTACAAGACCTGTTTTGTACAGTACCTTTACATCTGCACTTTACTGTTAAGATTTGTACATCTGTATCTACTTACATAATAATAATATATATGACCAAGACAGGGCTGTAGGCTGGGAGGGGGGGGGGGGGTTAAAATATTATTTTTGAAAACCTTTCCCCTTTCTTCCTAAGATTTTATCAGCCTCTTTCTTACCCAGGCCATCATTGGAATTTTTTTTTTTACTTCTTCCACACTGTGTGTAGATTAGTGCTGCATGCAGTACAAATTACCAACTTACAAATTGTCCCCAGCCTCATCTCTGCCAACACCTACAGCCCTGCCAACATATTACAAAGATGGTGTAAAACTTCTCGTATTCTCTTTCAATAACCATCAACATGCTTGTTTCATGGGCAGTATGGTCAGTTGCTTGACCACCAACAAAGACACCTCACTTTTTGCCATGATTGCAGTGGTCAGTGTATTGCTTTAGCAGCAGTGTTACTGTTAATGTCATCAGCAGGACGTTAATGCTCCAGGCGTGTTGTATTAACTACAGCAATACTGTCAAAGACATTTCATTTGCAGAACCACAGAGGAAAACCCTTCATGAAATGTCTTTTAGCTAATGACCTACAGAGTTTGTCTGCTTAATTTCCTTTCCCAATGAACAGCAAATTTAGCAACACTGTTATGACGAGCATTTTGTGAAACTGGATAAAAAAACATTTTGTTGGTCACAAAACTAGGTGTGTCACTTTGATGACAGCACCAAAATAAATTTAAAATAAAAAAACAAAAAATAAATGAATAAATAATAAAATAAAGAAACACATCTCCAGTTTGCATAGTTCTTTCCCCCATCACTAAGCTGGGTCAAGTGGATGGTCAGCTATCATTTGAAGGACCAGGGGTGGCCTCCTCCTCCTCAGTGGTACTATCCTGTTCTAACTGCTTCTGTTTCCACATCTTGGCCATAGCCAGCAGTTTGAGGTTTGGTTGGGCAGCCTCATCATCAGGGAAGATGTAGTCAAAGTACTCCTCCCATCCTGCATCAGACTAAAAGAATAAAAAGAAGACATGTAAATCATGTAAATGTACATGGATATATTTTTAAATTTAAATTCAGTTGCAAAATATGATAAATATTTTTCATCTAAGAATAAACTAAATTTCAAGAATTCTTCATTAAGTTATAGGCAACTCCTTTCCATTTTACATTCTTTAAATAATCATTTTAAGGTACACTTAGAAATAATAATAATACTCAGTACACTCATTATGGAATATAATGGATCTTCTACAGTAAAATGTTAATTGAAACAACTGAAACCAAAAGGAAATCCAATGAAAACAATAATTTAGAAGACAGCGTACAGGTTGCACATGCACCCACACATACACAAACACAAACAAAATAAACTTAAAAAAAAAATAGTACATATAAGAAAATCTTATGTACAATCCCATTAGGTGTCTCAAGGTTATAACAACTTGAATAATTCTACCTTATATTTGTAACAATAACATTAGTTCATCTTTCAGATAAAAAACTGGTACATTTATCAGCAAAACAATGCAAAAAGGTATGTCACAACGCTTTATTTTAGTTCAACCTTTGAGAAAATGTCAAAAAAAAAGAAAAAAAAAAGACCCATCAACTTAAAGAGATATTTGCCATGTATCAGCAACCTTGGATTTTAGCCATTCACTTAATTCATTCCAATTCCCCTTCAGTTTCGCCCAACTACTTTTTTTAACCAGTGAACAGATGGGGCACACATGCATAAACCAGAAGCTGGGCTTCGCTCTCAATATTTCCCTGTAAAAAAAGTTAACTGAGAAACAAGCTGTATTTATAATTATATCTGAAAGCAACGGTGGTAGAATCTGTTGGCAGCATTTTCTAAACAGTAGCTGAACCACACCAAGACTGACGGATGACCCTTCTCGCCCTTTCAGCAGGATCAATATCGATAATAAGATAGATTAAGAGAAAACAATTGATTGGGAGTTCACAGTTGCAATAGGTTGAACAGCAATGGCCCACCCCACTGTGTTGATCTTTACATTCTACCATCAACAGCATGGAAGCCAGCAATATTTCACCAAAGAAACACAACAGGAAAGGAGAAATCAATAATCCAACCGTGTTTATCTCTGCAAAAACATGTCAGAGGAAGAAGCCAAGTATCTCAAATTGGACGTGGAGTTTGACCAGATGAACTATTGACTTTAAATCATTTGGAGTGAAAGTTTCAGCCAGAGAATTAAAAAATGATTTGTTGAAAAGAGCTTCTTAAACACCTTTTTGACTGACAGTATTAAGAAAAATGAGGCTTTCATTTCAATTAAAGCTTAATTACTGTACAGGTTATTTTATATAGGCACAAGACATATTTATAACAAAAACTGCTGTTTTATGACATTAAGTTACAAAGCTGATATATTTCACCAATGTAATCCTTCAAAATGTTTAAAATTATTTTAAAAATATTTTTCATGCTAATTTAACCTTAAATTTAAAAAAATCTATTTTACTATGTACTATTTTTATTTATGTCTCTACAGTTTATCATGTATTTAAATACAATTAATTGGTGATAGTAACATTTCCCACACCACTACTTCCAGAAATATAGCATCGTTTTTACCTGACAAAAAGATCAGTTACAGTAAAAACTGTCCAATAATACGTGAAAATAACAAGCAAGAGATACACATGAAACAATCATATATATTCCAAAAATTTCATCTGTTAAATTGGTTAAGCTAAAAATTCTTTCTTTAAGAAGGATGTAACACACCTTTCAGATAAACCCCAGGCTGTCTAAAAAGAAAAGTGAAATTTGAGTGCTGTCCTTCAAAATCCCGAATTCCAAAAAGTTAATTTCAGAAGCTTACTGCTGAAAATCAGGACATGCTTCCATATAAAAGGATATCTCATAGTGAAAATGAATTTTGTCAATTCAATTGATTTTAGTTTTTTTCCCAAGATTTNGAACAAATACTGTGCAGTGACATTGTGTCACAGCTAACAATGCAAGGACAAAGTCTGAGTCGCTGAAAGTCACTCCAGAGCTCATTTCAATATCCTCATTTTTCAAATTAAATTTGTTGCCCATTTAAGCATACAATAATTAAGCATACATTTTTGACAGTTACATCCTAAATGTTTTCAATGCCAAAAACTGTCATTATGCATATAGCATTCACATTTAAAAAAAAAAAACTAATTCAATTCTCAAGAAAATACACTGCTTTGGCCCAAACTATTTGGCATTGCGTTAATTTAATTGTGACATTACAGGAGAAGAGAATTAGTCAATTTGCAAAACAACACTTCATCCTAACCACTTTGCAATATGCAAAGCCATGTTTCTCAAATGCAGCCTTATGCAACAGAACATGACCATAATATGAGAATTGCATGTTGGCCTAGCATTAACACAATTGCTCTCGTATTTCTATGGTGAACTGCCATCTACAACAGGCACTTTATCAGTGTTCACCGCATATGCCAATCAATTAAGCTGTGATACCTGCAAGGATTTTAACAAACCTATCTTTTCATCTCGTCTAATAATTTGTTAGCATTCTGTGTTGTTGATATCATGCCAAAGTTCCATTATACCAAAATGGGAAACTGAAGATTAACAGCTATGTATACCTTCTTCGTAACGTATCTTCTGTTAAACAAGTAAGATTATTTTAATAGTTAGTCAATAACCGAATGTGGATCTCTTCTGAATAATATTTATCTAGTTTTTGCAATACTTATAATAATCTAAACAGACACTGTAATGTGTAAAAAAGTCAGAACACCCAACTGATCTTATGATGACCTTTGGTATTCAGAAGAGTACTTTATGGCTTAACAAAGCATGAAGATAAAGAGTTATTCTAATGTTACACTTTTTAAAAAATTATCCAATTAAGGCTCCAATACTAATATCACTGCCTTTGTCAAAGAGTAGAATAAACTAAAGGGACCCTCTCTCACCTCAATGACCAAACTCTAAGCTATGATAACTAATTACTAATTCACCATTTTGAATAGATTGGAAATTACATAAATGCCTAGTCATATAAATGTCTTGTAGCATTTAATCAATTTGGTCTTGTATCCTTGGCAATCTTCACACCGGGTCCCAGCATCATATTCAAAATAATAACAAATAAGCTAGAAAGGGACCACCAAGAAATAAGTGCATTTAAGTACATAATGTTGAAAAGGGTCAACTATTGTTTTGCTAAATCAGTGATCAGGTAGGGAAAATTATTTCATGAGATGAAAAAGGAAATCATGGGATTGAACAGAAATTGCACAATTTTACTGCTTAAATTTATATTTAAAAAATCAACTATCATTGTAAATATAATTAGCCTCCTACTCACATAAATGCATGACTGCACATGCGCACACACACACCACACGAACACCCTCAAAACTGACAACAAGGCCTGGAAATGTGCAGCCTCTTTATACATACCCCATCTTCTGTCTGCACCTTCTTCCTCTTCTTCACCTTCTTTGGCATCTGTTTCTCCACCTCTGCTAGTGACTCTTCTGTTCCATGCTCATGCTGAAGATAAAGGGTCCAAAGGTAAATTCAACACGTGAGACCTTTTTTTTTAGGCCAAAAGTTAACCAACAATTTGTTTCTGTTGATAGATGATTGTGAAAATGTACAGAGTATTAAAATTACTTTTAAGAATATAATCTAAATGTGTGTGTTTGCATGTGTGTATGAGTGCATGTGCATTTGTGTGCATGCATACAAGCATACATGTGCGTTTGTGTGTGTTCACACCCACCATCATGTATATGAAGGATAACCTTTATCAGGCAATTGGGCACAATACCTTGGTATAGATTATATCATATTTCAGAGATTGAATTGCAATGATCCTTGTCTGCATTTTTGTTTGTTTTTTCACTAAGAAGGTGTCCTAAACTTGCATGCATTTACAGCTTTTGTCAATTACTTGTGACTGTTATACACAATAAATTATCATACCTCATACTCTCTCCATGCTTCCAACAACATCAGTCTCTCTTCTTTCTCCTCTGCCTTCTTCATGGCTTTGTGTCCATCTCTGTACACATCCCGCGCCCTCTCCTTGGCGTCCGGGTCATCTATACACAGCTCAAACTGGGCAAAGCTCGCCCACACCTACAGTGATTGAAATTTAAAAAAATCTCTTGTGCTTACAAAAATAAATGAATGAATGAATGAATGAATAAATAATGATTGAAATACACACAAGCTTTTTTCTACCTCTTCAAATTATGCAAAATCTGACTTGCTGACCATAATTTTTAACGTATAGGCATTCTACAAGAAAAATGGCTCGTAAATTATATCCACTGAAATATCATGAAAACCATAGGAAATCTGTCCAAAAATTCTTGTATATTAGATGTCTCAGTTAAAAAATATGATCAGAAAAACCCACTAATCTGTTAATTCAATCTCCTATCTTAATCAACCACCTAAAGATTTCTTGACAACAACTCGCAATATTTTCAAGGAAACGTGCTCCAAAGAGAGGAAGATGCAACTGGGGGTTAATCTAATCTTTTCTGCACTATAATGGGATCTACTAGCAGATGGTAAGAAGCCTCTGTTCAGGAACCGTAGCAAGTATAAGTGGCACAGCGCGAGCCCAGTAGACCATGAATGCAAATCTTATCCATTTTCACATCTGGCAACATTTATAGGTGAACCAAAAGTCAAGCAGCAAACTGCAACATTACCTTTACACAGTTAACAGATTTTTTCACCAAATTTCTTTCAAAGATTTGGCAGTAAGGGATTAGCTGATGTGTAGCTGTGAGCTACACAAGTTTAGTTTGCTTTTGTATAGGCTTAGGCCTAATGTATAATTCTACTCAGCATTGCTCTATAACATTAACTGAATAAGGGAACATTTTTTGCACCAATGTGACCTCTTTACATACCCCCCACCCCCACATGAATAGTCAATACCGCAATATAATTTAAATATGTACATCCACCATTTGAATATATTCTTTTGAACTGAAAATTCCATACAAAATGAAATTTAAGAAATGGAATACTATTTGTCATCAAAATCTATGATATGCCACTAAAATAAATTTCTGGAAAAAAAACAGCTATATTTACGTTGCACATCGTACTTATTACAACATTCCTTTCAAAGCTAATTTATTTGATAAAACACAGTATATAGTAATACTAATTTTTGTGGTGTGTAACTTTTACCATTCTGCATTCTTTTCAAAACTTCACAAAAACTATTACCTTAACATGTTGTGTCCTCTCTAGAAGTCTCCTGTATAGTTTCCTGGTTCTATCATACTCCTCTTGTTCTATTTCAAAGTCAATATAGGACTTCCACAGGACCTCTGGCATGTCCAACTTTGGCTGACCAATGGCTAGCTCATAAATTGCCCTTGTGCGTTCTACATCCCCAAGAATTGTCTCCAATTCTGCATACTGAAATGGATCAATTAATAATATGTAGTTATTACTCAACACTGAATAATAAGAGATACCTTAGATGGTATTTTATTAGACAGGAAAGTTCTTTTTAGTGTTTCAAAGATTCAAAAATGAGAGAAAAAGAAAGAGGGAAAGGTAGAAGCAGTGATCAGTTAATATTGAAAATCTGAATGTCAACTTTGAAATATCAAAAATTTTGCACATTATCTTATGATGCTAGTGTTGGACTTTTCATACACTAATAAATAAAAATAAAATAACAAAACTTTAAATATGTAACATTTATACTAACTTTCATCCAAGTTGTGCAATTCTCTGGGTTGAACTCCAGAAACTTTTCATACAAAATCCTGCACCTGTCAAATTCTCGAAGCTGGATCTCCATGTCTATGTAGCTGCGGAACAGCTTGTCTTTAGGGCACTTGCCAATGGAGGCCCCCTGTATACAGATGATACGATTACATAAATGGCATGGGTACTTTCGAAATCAAATCTTAACTGCAAACTATGGAAAAGAGAGAAAGCATCAACAAGAATGACAGAACTGTTACTTAATACAAGAAATAGCATCTCTTATGCACATATTTATGTAAACAGGTAAGCATCTTTAAATGAAAATTATTAATTTATATGGTATCAATTTTTAGACTTTTATTGTTTTATCACTCACCAAAATTTTCCTCGCCATTTGGAGATTCTTTTGTCTGATTTCAAAATGAGCATAGAGTAACCAAATTTTAGCAAAGGTAAACTTCTTGTGAGGAATTATTTCTATGCAGGCTTGGTAGACCTGTCTTGTTCTGTCTGTATCATGAGCTTCAAGTTCTTCAAACAGTGCATAGTTTATCCACAGGTATATGTATCTCCTCCAATGGCGCTTTTCCTAAAACAAAATATTAAACCAAGTTTTATTCAATTATGAACACATTTCAACAAGGAAAATCTAGCTACTGGAACATTAGAAAAAACAAAAAGCAAATGCACCAATGGATATTTTTTATAGAAAATTTAATTTAACAAAAGTGGAACGAAATTTTCTAACATCTCAGTTTTGTGTTCTTACTTGAGAAGGTGGCACATTAGCAATGGCTCTTTCATACAAGTCCCTGGTCTGGTCCACATTTCCCTCATTTTCCAACAGACGTAAGTAGTCAAACCAGGCATCATAGTTGTGTGGATTTGATTTCACTTGCTATGAAAAGGAACAGTTACAAAATAATTATGTTCTAATATTTAATATCAGCACTGCAATTCGAATAGTGCATTGACCAAGTGAGAAAAATACAAAACAATTTCTTTTATCTGGTTCTTTACATTAACTAATTATGGGAATATCTGACACAAAATAATATCTAAATTGCAGTCCTTTTTGTAATGTAGACAAAGTAACACAGTCAAATAATACCTCTTCATATTGAAACCTTCTCTTGCTAACAATGACATCTTCTATAGCAGCTCTGTCTCCAAACTTCTTCTCATGGACTGTGTACTGCTTGTAGATCTCCTGACATTTGTCTTTTGGAAGATGGTCCAATGCATACTTGTAGATCACACGGGCACGCTCATGCTGCAAAGATCATTAAATGATTTTGATACTTTTCAATGCTATTTTCATTCATTACATTGAGTATGCATGTATGTGATCAACAAAATGTGAATGACTCATGTTTGTTTGACAATTACAACATAGCTATGAAATGTCTAAATCTATTTTGTCATTTTGTTGACAAAGAGCATTTTCAGAATCTANCAGCGCCCGACTGTGGAGCCGGCGGAGCCGGCGGAGCCGCAGGAGCCGGCGGAGCTGTACGAGACGGGTCGGGACTAAAACCATGAGTACCGCCAGCGTATACGCTGGTGGTACTAATTAACCTCCTACTCACAAACATGCTTGACTGCACGTGCGCACACACATACACATATACAAACATTACACACAGACACCCTCATAAACTGACAACAAGGCTTGGAAACGTGCATCCTCTTTATACATACCCCATCTTCTGTCTGCACCTTCTTCCTCTTCTTCACCTTCTTTGGCATCTGTTTCTCCACCTCTGCTAGTGAATCTTCTGTTCCATGCTCATGCTGAAGATAAAGGGTCCAAAGGTCAATTCAACAAATGAGAGCTTTTTTTTTAAGCCAAAAGTTAGCCAACAATTTATGTTTCTGTTGATAGATGATTGTGAGAATGTACAGAGTATTATTAAAATTACTTTGAAGAATATAATCTAAATGTGTGTGTGTGTGTTTGCATGTGTGTATGAGTGCATGTGCATGTGTGTGCATGCATACAAGCACATATGTGTGTTTGTGTGTTCACACCCATCATCGTGTATATGAAAGATAACCTTTATCAGGCAATTGGGCACAATACTTTGGTATAGATTATGTCATTTTTCAGAGATTGAATTGCGATGATCCTTGTCTGCATTTCTGTTTGTTTTTTCACTAAGAAGGTGTCCTAAACATGCATGCATTAACAACTTTTCTCAATTACTTGTGACTGTTATACACTATAAATTATCATACCTCATACTCTCTCCATGCTTCCAACAACATCAGTCTCTCTTCTTTCTCCTCTGCCTTCTTCATGGCTTTGTGTCCATCTCTGTACACATCCCGCGCCCTCTCCTTGGCATCTGGGTCATCTATACACAGTTCAAACTGGGCAAAGCTCACCCACACCTACAGTGATTGAAATTTAAAAAAATCTCTTGTGCTTACAAAAATAAATGAATGAATGAATGAATGAATAAATAATGATTGAAATACACACAAGCTTTTTTCTACCTCTTCAAATTATGCAAAATCTGACTTGCTGACCATAATTTTTAACGTATAGGCATTCTACAAGAAAAATGGCTCGTAAATTATATCCACTGAAATATCATGAAAACCATAAGAAATCTGTCCAAAAATTCTTGTATATTAGATGTCTCAGTTAAAAAATATGATCAGAAAAACCCACTAATCTGTTAATTCAATCTCCTATCTTAATCAACCACCTAAAGATTTCTTGACAACGACTCGCAATATTTTCAAGGAAACGTGCTCCAAAGAGAGGAAGATGCAACTGGGGGTTAATCTAATCTGTTCTGCGCTATAATGGGATCTACTAGCAGATGGTAAGAAGCCTCTGTTCAGGAACCGTAGCAAGTATAAGTGGCACAGCGCGAGCCCAGTAGACCATGAATGCAAATCTTATCCATTTTCACATCTGGCAACATTTATAGGTGAACCAAAAGTCAAGCAGCAAACTGCAACATTACCTTTACACAGTTAATAGATTTCTTCACCATATTTCTTTCAAAGATTTGGCAGTAAGGAATTAGCTGATGTGTAGCTGTGTGCTATACAAGTTTAGTTTGCTTTTGTATAGGCTTAGGCCTTATGTATAATTCTACTCAGCATTGCTCTATAACATTAACTGAATAAGGGAACATTTTTTGCACCAAAGTGACCAATGTGTACCCCCCCCCCCCACCCCCACATGAATACCGCAATATAATTTAAATCTGTACATCCACCATTTGAATATATACTTTTGAACTGAAAATTCCATACAAAATGAAATTTAAGAAATGGAATACTAATTGTCAACAAAATCTATGATATGCCACAAAAATAAATTTCTGGAAAAAACAGCTATATTTATGTTGCACATCGTACTTATTACAACATTCCTTTCAAAGCTAATTTATTTGATAAAACACAGTATATAGTAATACTAATTTTTGTGGTGTGTAACTTTTACCATTCTGCATTCTTTTCAAAAATGTCCAAAAGCTATTACCTTAACATGTTGTGTCCTCTCCAAAAGTCTCCTATATAGTTTCCTGGTTCTATCATACTCCTCCTGTTCTATTTCAAAGTCAATATAGGACTTCCACAGGACCTCTGGCATGTCCAACTTTGGCTGACCAATGGCAAGCTCATAAATTGCCCTTGTGCGTTCTACATCCCCAAGAATTGTCTCCAATTCTGCATACTGAAATGGATCACTAAATAACATGTAGTTATTACTCAACACTGAATAATAAGAGATACCTTAGATGGTATTTTATTAGACAGGAAAGTTCTTTTTAGTGTTTCAAAGATTCAAAAATGAGAGAAAAAGAAAGAGGGAAAGGTAGAAGCAGTGATCAGTTAATATTGAAAATCTGAATGTCAACTTTGAAATTTCAAAAATTTTGCACATTATCTGATGATGCTAGTGTTGGACTGTTAATACAAAAATAAATCAAAATAAAATTTTTAAAAAATCATAACAAAACTTCAAATATGTAACTTTTATACTAACTTTCATCCAAGTTGTGCAATTCTCTGGGTTGAACTCCAGAAACTTTTCATACAAAATCCTACATCTGTCAAATTCTCGAAGCTGGATTTCCATGTCTATGTAGCTGCGGAACAGCTTGTCTTTAGGGCACTTGCCAATGGAGGCCCCCTGAATACAGATGATATGATTAGTGGTCTTCTACATAAATGGCATGGGTACTTTTGAAATAAAATCTTAACTGCAAACTATGGAAAAGAGTGAAAGCATCAACAAGAATGACAGAACTGTTACTTAATACAAGAAATAGCATCTCTTTTGCACATATTTATGTAAACAGTTAAGGATCTTTAAATGAAAATTATTAACTCATATGGTATCAATTTTTAGACTTTTATTGTTTTATCACTCACCAAAATTTTCCTTGCCATTTGGAGATTCTTTTGTCTGATTTCAAAATGTGCATAGAGTAACCAAATTTTAGCAAAGGTAAACTTCTTGTGAGGAATTATTTCTATGCAGGCTTGGTAGACCTGTCTTGTTCTGTCTATATCGTGAGCTTCTAGTTCTTCAAACAGTGCATAGTTTATCCACAGGTATATGTATCTCCTCCAATGGCGCTTTTCCTAAAACAAAATATTAACCAAGTTTTATTCAATTATGAACACATTTCAACAAGGAAAGTCTAGCTACTGGAACATTAGAAAAAATAGCAAATGCACCATTTTATAGAAAATTTCTTTTAACAAAAGTGGAATAAAATTTTCTACTATCTCTGTTTTGTGTTCTTACTTGAGAAGGTGGTACATTAGCAATGGCTCTTTCATATAATTCCCTTGTCTGGTCCACATTTCCCTCATTTTCCAACAGACGTAAGTAGTCAAACCAGGCATCATAGTTGTGTGGATTTGATTTCACTTGCTATGAAAGGGAACAGTTACAAAATAATTATGTTCTAATATTTAATATTGACACTGCAATTCCAATAATGCATTGACAAAGAGAGAAAAATACAAAATTTCTTTGATTTTTTTCTGTATCATTGGTTCTTAAAATTAACCATTTAACTAATTATGGTAATATCTGACATAAAATAATATCTAAATTCCAGTCCTTTTTGTAATGTAGACAAAGTAACCCAGTCAAATAATACCTCTTCATATTGAAACCTTCTCTTGCTAACAATGACATCTTCTATAGCAGCTCTGTCTCCAAACTTCTTCTCATGGACTGTGTACTGCTTGTAGATCTCCTGACATTTGTCCTTTGGAAGATGGTCCAGTGCATACTTGTAGATCACACGGGCACGCTCATGCTGCAAAAAATCATTAAATGATTTTGATCCTTTTCAATGCTATTTTCATTCATTACATTGAGTATGCATGTATGTGATAAACAAAATGTGAATGACTCACGTTTGTTTGACAATTACAACATAGCTATGAAATGTCTAAATCTATTTTGTCATTTTGTTGACAAAGAACATTTTCAGAATCTATATAACAAAACAAAGATGCACCATAATTTTTCTGAACTTCAACCAATATTTTCCTTCACAAAAACAAAAATATTATATTTTACTTGAAAACTATGCTTCTGAATGTCAAATTTTATGAGAATAGCACCAAGGCATGTGTAGTGAGACTCAATAATACTACCTCTTTTTGGTTCTCTTCAAATTTGGCAAATGCAATAATGAGGACTTCATTCATGTTTTCCTCCCCAAAGAATTCCACAGCTCTTTCATAGACATTTCTTGCACTGCTGATGTAGCTGTTCTTCTCCTCAAACTTGGCATACTTGATCCAATTCTTAACCTCTGGATGCACCAGAACAAGTGAGAACAGTTAAGTAAATTGCTTTAAAATTGTGAAAAATTTAAATGAAAAAGCATTTTGCAGCTATAAAAACGTGCCTAACAAAGGGAACTATCTAAAACACTGTTTCTCCTCAAATGAAGCCAGAAGCTTGCCACCAGAAATGAAATCAAATGCTACATTATAAATGTAAGAATTTCTATTCACTGAATATGTAATTAAATCAAATAAAAATTAACATCTTTTAATAAACAAATAAATGTGTTATAACATTGATACAGTCACTACAAAGGATATATCGTTCATATATGTTCCTGGCCCTGTCTAGCTCTTTATAACGTAGTTCAAAGTTAATATAAGAGTGCCAGGCTTGCTCTTCCGGTTGCCATTCCATCCAACGCTCAAACACCTGACGGCTTCCTGCATTGGTGGAAAATGTAAATATATTAATTCATCCAATAAATCTTACAGTAGATCTAACCTAGGAGTGTTCAAAGAAATCTGTAAGTCATTCTAAAGAACTTATACAAGCAGAATGAATTATTTCAATCATTATATTTTACACTTTGTAAATTTGCAGGAATTTTTAAATCTTTGAATTGTTGTTTCCACATGTATCTCTTCCTATTTAAAAATCATTTTAAAAAGAAATTAAGAAAAAGATTGGCATCTGTTACAATAAAAAGAAATTATTATGTGGTGATAGTGCATTCTCTCACCTGCAATATTGCCCAACATTTCCTCCATGTAAGTGTACTTGTACCAAAACTGGTTGGCTCTAGGGAGGATGGTTATTGCCCTGTCCCAGATATTTCTAGCATGGTTGACTTGACGATTCCTAAAAAAGGATGATTGTGAATAATGAAAATTAGCTTGTATGTTCAGCTGACAATTCCTAGAATAGGAAGATCATGAAAAAATAGCAAATTGTCTTTTTAAGCCCAATTCCATTTATAAATACTTATGCTTATACCTTATGCTCATTGCTTTTTTATGGTGTTTGTGCTCTAACGCTGTATTTCTTAGGAAACTAAGAAAAACCAAAACTCTTGCACAAAAACTTGCATGACTTAAGGAGATTTTGTTGGGTAGAAAATGCTTTGCATAAAGTTGTAGAATTCATAGAGGGAGCTTCTATCCTATCAAAATGTTCATGTAAAAACCCTCTACTCATAGATATTAATATGTAGGTAAAAATGGACAAAAAGTAAAAAGATGAAATAAAACCAAATTACCTCATTTCCATTTCAGCATATTTGAGCCATAGTGTAATATTTCTGTGGTCCACGTCCAGAGCTCTCTCATACACTGACCTTGCCCTATACAGATTATAAAACATTACAAAAAACTAGTAAATTTTGAAAGAAGGAAACACCCCAATTTCTATCCTGCAATTATTTGTGCTTTTAGGTACTTATTAGTAAAATGTACTCCAATATCTACTTAATATTCACACCTTTTCAAATACACTATCAAACCTCACATATCAAGATTTATTACAAAGATATTACTTAAAACACAAAGATGCATGTCTTTTTGTTGATTTTATTTTTTTATATTACAGGAGTGCGGTTCTTACCTCTGTATTTCTTTTTGACTTTCTTCCCATCCTGCATACTTAATCCAGTTGATCATCACTGTTCTATTTTTCCTTATGTTATCTTCAAATGCCTTTGAAATTATTGAAATCATTGAAATATATGTTGAGAATTAACAGAACAAGGGCAAAGGCACATTTGTGATGAAACAATCCACATGCTTTTTAGAGGTAAATATTTTATTTGAGCAATTACTACAGTGCAAATGAAGATTCGATATCAAATTACTATATATAGCAAATAAATAAATCTCACCTTCCTTTTCCTGAGTCTGTATGCCTTTAATTCTTCTTCATCTGATATCTTTTGCTTTGGTGGCTACAAGAAAATTAACCAATGCATACTGTTATAAGGTGTGTTTGTTTTAAACTTTATTAAAATATAACTGCAACCAAGATTTAACCCTTTAGCACACTATATCATGCTCATTTTGCATATTATATCAGTATTAAGACTAGAAAAGAACTTGCAGATCTCTGTCAAGACGAATAATTAACTAATAGTTAACCATTAATCAATTGATGATCAAGATCACAATGTAATCATTTGTTCTTTGACCATTTCTAACCTATCCTGAAGATTTCATCAAAATCCATCTAAAATTTTTGCACAATGTTGCCAACTGACAGACAACTAACACACTAACAAACAAAGGCATGTTGAAAGAAATGAAAGTAGGTCCCTTACAGGTGCTCCTAGTTCCAGTTCTCTTTCTTTGGCCTCTCTCAGCAACTGTTCTGCTGTTATTTGAACAGGGGCTGGCATCTTATTTTTGACCTAAAACAGAGAAAAATCAATCATGATAACAGTGTAAAAATGTATATTTTTGTAACCATCCTATAACATGTAAATGTGAGACAAATGATATATATATGAGACAAATTTTGAAAAATAAAGCCTTCATGCACAGAAAAATTAAAATTCCTTACAAGAAACAGCATCAACCTAAATATAATGTTGAAACAAATATTTAACATTCTAAAGCAGAGTCAGAGTGTCAGCCCATGGTATCAATATTATTATGATGCGTGTTTTATTTTTATTTTATTTATTTATTTATTTATGAATGAGAATACAAATTGGGGGGGGGGGGCATACAGAAATGTTAAAATAGCAATATTTTGGATTGTATGGATATCTACATGATGATAAATTTTTCTAAAATATTCTATTTACAACATAATAGAATCAAATTGTAAATACATTCAATTCATGTCATTGGGAGGGATACGATTTTTCAAACGACCATTCTGATCTAACGTGCTTCACAAACTGAACATAAAGCAAGGTTTTTCTACATTTTGTGGAGTTTCTACAAGGGTGATCAATAACTTACTTTCGCCACCTTAGGTAGCTTTATCTTGCCGTCTTTTCCCACCTCCATTTCGTCTGGTTTTGTGCTAAAAAATTTAACAAATAATAACAAAACTCCAACGAAAAAACTGGGTCAACATCAAGGTGAAGGTGAGAGTAGTTTCGAAAACACATCCGGTAAGAAAGATTTATTGTTAAAATTTACGATTCGGTAGAATTTCGACAAAAGAAATTTTGACATATATCTATTAAATTTTCTCAATGTTAATTTATTTTTAAATGTTATCTATAATGAAGAATAAGACATCGTCACTTTATATGCTGCCTGTAACCATAGAGACTACAGCAATGGCGGATAAGATTTGAAGTTAGATGCCTCTCTGACGACCCCAGACTAAATAATATTGGATGTACAATATTTTAAAAAACTGAAATCGCTGTGAATCAGGTAGATATTTCAAAGGTCTATATTATACTGGATGCAGGACAAGATTTTTGTTTTTCTTATTATTATAATGTCAAAAGTAATTTGTGTAATTTCAGATTGAAGAGTCCTTATTTAGCGCAGTGCAGTTTCTATTTGAAGTAATTTTTCGTATGGATCTTGTGAATAAAAATACACAGATATGACATAGTTATTTTGTAGTGTTCAGTAACGTTGCACATGATCCACGTCGAGTTTGAACCTTAAGTACCGATACCACGAAACCATAACTTACCACAGTTGACTAGTCTTCCATTCAGTGATTCACAGCTCATAGCATTAACTTTACTTCAGTTTTCCATTGCGGTTTCCCATGGACAACATGTTGGCCTCTTCAGTTTGAATACATTTTGATCTCCAGCAGTAAGATTAATGTTCTTTTAAGATATTTTATAAAATATCCATGTTATCCCTTATTTCTAGATCCACGATGACAACTTTAGTGTCACGTAAGGGTGCTACTGAGGTGATCAATGCCAGGAGAACGGAGTCTTTAGACGCCCCTAGTATTCTCAAATTGGTAAAGCCCAGCACTGATGAACTCTTTGGCAGAGTCAATGTTGTTAACTTGATGTAAGTCTGACGAGTAGCTTTTATGTAATAAGATAATAACTTATATAAGTTTGTTCTTAGTGTGTAAAATTCTCTCTGGTGTGATGTTAAATGTTGATAATATTTGATTATGAAATAAATAATGAATTGTTCAGGAAATGTTATAGTGCTTGTTTAAGAACATGATATATATTTTTTTAATATTATGTATTCAAGGAATGAATGCCATCTTTGATCTGATATTTGTGATATCTACTTATATAATAAAATATGTCTAATGTTTTCAGTGAGAAGGCTGTGCTGTCTATAACCCTCAGCAATGAGAGAGACGAAGTCTTAGCCCATGCTGCTTTCTTTGATTACCCAAATGCTCCAAATGTGGATTCGGCTAAATGGGAAGATTGGCTGAAAAGCAACTACGACACCAAGCAGTGCAATCCACTGAACACTCTGTTCATGCATTACTTTGTAGCCAAGTCAGAGTATTCACATGGAGCTGCAAGGGAGATCATCAGGACCATGTACAATGCTGTCCCTGAGGCACACTTCTGTTTTCTGGTGGTGCCGAATGGTGTCTACCCAGGTAAGAAAGACATGTTTGTTTTTCAATGGTAATTCTGCTTCATGTTAGTGATTTAAATTTTGAGAAAGAAGTCGAATGTTATGGTTGGTAGAAGGTGTTGTATTGACAATAAATAAATAAATAAATAAATAAATAAATAAATAAATAAATAAAAGATTAATTAAACTATGATTATAATAATAGTGTATAGAATATAATAGACTAAAGATTAGGTGCAGATCTTAAGGAAAAGGTGAATGAATAAATGATTGAATAAATAAGTGAAATAAGTGAATAAGAAAAGCATTAATTTAGGACAAGGGTAAAGGATGTTAATGAATTTGTTAAAATTGAAAATGGAATGTTATCATAAGAATTTCAAAAATGTCAGCTTCTAGTTTACTAATAAAGTGAACCATTATTATTATTATTATGTTTTCTGTGTTTCTTTGTTCTCCAGACTCGGCCCTAGCAGCTATCTTTCAACAAATGGAACATGTGGAAGAAACCAAGGGTCCTGAGGGCTGTGTGGTATTTGTTTGTCACAGACATTCTCACGTACCAGTGCTTCATGTCAGGAAAGCCACGTAAGTTAATAGTTCTAAGAAAAGCTAATATGCATACAGCATGTCCTACATGTAGCAGCCTAAATAAAGTTCAGATGCAGATTACTCCAACCACTGATTTGAGGCAATTGGCAGGTAGATTTGGTGTGGGACTAGTGAAAATTCATATTTTTCAAAATTACTGGTTTGATTTGACTAATGAGTATTTAGGGATTTTTCTAATAAGTTTTCTATTATCTATGGATTTTATTGTGAATTGTAAATTTTTATTTGGACAAATGGTTTTATGAGGTCTGCAACAGTATGATCAGTGGACTAAAGGCATAGACTTGCAAAAGTATCTAATTGAAATAGATGCCACTGCTATTGGTGCAAGTGGAATACGTTTATTCCACTGCCACATTGGTGAAGTTTTGATTTTTTGTTAAATAATTTCAGTGTGGAGGACCATGATGACTTAACTCCAATATTCAATCGCCAGAGTGATATGTTGAAGATGACATATGGAGATTATTTCTTGGCAGAACTGATAGAGGCACAGGATGAAAATATGCAGTGTTTAGTTGCAGAGGTAACCAGCTATTATCATTATTATATTACGTATCTTCTTCTGAATAATGGAACGCTAAAATGTTAAGTCAATTTACACATATTATTGGCCAGTCAGTAGCAGTTTTTGAAAAATATTTTCTTCTCTTTTTTTTTTACAATTGCAGCATAACTTCCCGCAAAATTTCCACCTTTCATCTGAAGAATTTCACATTTATATGACCTGTAGATTTATTTTGGAGTTTTTCTTTTCCTCCATTAGGTGGAAGGTACAGCTATAGGCTTTATGAGTATCTGTGATGATGTGAATGTTGATCTGCTGAACACTTGCTTTGAGCTGGGTTCTTATCATGGTCTTAGGAAGCCACACCCAGAGGATGAGCTAGAGCCTCCTGCCCCGGCTCAGACATCCCCGCAGCCACCCCCAGAGCAAGGTGGGTACTAAATGTGCTTAAATTTATGATAGTTCGTAAGACATTCACCAGGTTCAATTATTTGCTTTGCAGCAGAGAATAGAAAATATTATTTTTTTTCCTTGTAGAAAATTTATTCCTGTTTTGGTGAAAGTATTTTGGTTTATATGTATTTGAATGTGAAATGACTAATATCTATGTCCCCCAAGTTACAATTGTATTTAAATCTCTTAACTTTCTAAAGACAAACAAATAAGTAGAGATGAGCTGCACCAAAAAGTGGCTTAATTGCTCTCTTTTAAGAACTTTTCAAAGTTTAAAAACTATATAAATAATAGTCATTTGTGTATATTTTCATGTGAAGTCACTGTTTCAGTTAGGGTTTGTGTAAATTTATGTCTGCTGTATTTGTATCAGACACCACAGAAGAGGAAGAAAGACCATCATCAGCAAGATCAGCAGCCTCAGCCAAGTCAGCAGCCTCTGCGAAATCAGACAAAGGAAAGGTGGATGGCAGTGCAGCAGACAAACCTACAGAAGAAGCTAAAACTGAAGGCAGTATTAAAAGTCCAGCTGCAACTGACACTGGAAAAGGTACAAAAGTTTTTAAAACATCTTTCTTATTTGGGCACTGTTAGCTTTTAAGTAATTTTATGATTTAACTTTGTACATCCATGTATTTTAATTTTGATGCAGAAAATGTATGTTAGAATGTCTTGCTTTGAATTATCAATTTTAGGAAAATGTACCATCCAATGTTTACTTGTAAATAAATGTTACTATTAATACAAAACTTTCCTTCTGTTTTATAATTGTGAAATTGATCAGTAGGTGTTACTTTGCTTTAAAATGAAGCTCTTAGCAAGTTTTTTTCTCAAGAAGTTATAAGTTCTATAAATTTAGTTTTGATATGTAAATTATAACAGTCCTCAGATAATTGTTAAATAAGGAATCTGGTTAAAATGTCATTTCTTTTCTTCAATTAGATGGTGATGTTCAAGCTCAGCCAAAGTTGGCTGACTCTAATATTGGTGGCAGTCACACTTCTCTCTTGAGTGAGGGAAAGGAAACACAAGAGAAAGAAGAAAAAGAATCTGTAAAATCAGCTGCCAGTGTGGCTCCCTCAGAACCTAAAAAATCAACTGAAGCCCAGGTAATTTATCATCATTGTAGTATCTGAAAAACACAATCTTAATTTTGAAAGATGCATTTAAAGTTGTTTTATTTACCTGCACATCTATACACAAACAAAATGAAAATATGATTTTTAAACAATAATTCAACAGCACAGAATGAGGATAAAGGTACTTTGAGTCATAGTTGTAATTGTATTTAAATATTTTCAAGGTGAAGCCACCTACTGCTAGTACTCTTTCCAAGCACCTAAGTCCGGCGATGCCTAAACTTGGCAAGAGTTTTGTACCCAAATATAAGGGAGAACTGAATGCTATTTCTATACAGCTTTTTATCATAGACGAGAGATATGAAATGAGGTAAGTTTGAAATAAAAATATCACAGTACTGTTATTTCATTTCTCAATGCTAAAAGTTAATGGTAAAAATTACAGCAGCCAAAGACCACATTAGTATTTTATGCGAGGTGTATACAAGAGAGAGAGAAGCATAATATTGTAATGATTGTAACAGCTTTCACTGTACTTTATTAAGAACCCGAGTTTACTTTGTAAGTTGACGTGGCAGAAAAGAGAAACGAATGTCCCGCGTAAGAAAGAGGGGCGTGTTATATAAAAAAACGGAGACACACGAACACAAACGAAAAGGCACGAACACACTACACTAGCACAACCACAATCATACATACGCAACCTCATATATATATACATGTTACATCCTCCCCTGCCAACAACAAATGGTTTCCACACCATTTACAAAACGACAAGGGAGGAATAATTTTTCCATTTTATTAGTTTTTTCTGTACAATATTTACAAAAAAATAAAATAAATATTCTATATGCTATTTAAAACACCCAGTTGCTACCATTATACCAAACTGGTTTTCTTCTATTTCTCTTACTTCTCTTTGGACGGTCTGCTGAGTCGATTTTTTTTCTCTGTTCCTCACGTAACTCTCTTTCCTCTAATGGTAGTGCGTAAATTGGCAAGAGCATATTACAATGAACCGTTTTGGTTTTCCCAACACCTTCTTCTCTCTTTATTGTAAAAACTGGAATGTCTTTATTTGGTTGTGATGAGACAATATACACCTCATTCTGCCAACGGTCAGCGAGTTTGTGCTTCCCAGTAAAAGCGACATTACGCAAAAGAACATGATCCCCAGTCGCCACTACACTTCCTCTCGATCTATTATCAAAATGTTTCTGCTTTTGCAATATGCTTAGCTGCTAATCGATATGAATCGCTCAATCTGTTTCAAATCATTGACATACTGACACTGGGAGGATCAAGGAGCAAATCAACTGGCAGTCTAGGATGTCTGCCGAACATCAGGTAATAAGGAGAAAAATTGCTTGAACTATTACGGGTACAATTGTAGGCGTACACAAGTGAGCCAATATGTTTCTTCCAACTTTTCTTTTGAGTTGGATCTAGCATTTCCATCATATCTAAGAGTGTTCGATTCATTCTTTCACATTGACCGTTTCCCATTGGGTAGTATGGTGCTGTTCTGGATTTTTTTATTCCTGCCAATTGACACAACTCATTTATTATCTTCCCTTCAAAATTTCGGCCTTGATCCGTATGAATATGACTTGGAAATCCATAATGCACCACAAAATTGTCAAAGAAGATTCTGGCAGTAGTCTTTGCTGTTTGATTGGAAGTGGGGTACGCTTGCGCGTACCTCGTGAAATGATCAGTAATAACTAATATATTCCCTACTCCACCCTTTCCATCCTCTATTGAATGAAAGTCCATACAGACCAATTCTAAGGGAGCAGAGGAAGAAATTGAACATAACTCTGCACGAGCAGTGGGCAACGTTTTACATTTTATGCATCTAGGGCAACCACTAATGTGTTGAGACATTTGCTTTGTCATTTCGGGCCAATAAAAACGCTGTTGAAGGAGATTTACAGCTCTGTCTCTCCCAAGATGACCTATTTCGTCATGACAACCATGCCAAGCGTCTTTTCTAAAGGCTTCTGGTAGAACTACCTGTTTAGTTACTGACCCATCATTAGATCATCTTGTACCATACAATGCATCATCACATAGCACCATTCTCTCTATCTTTCTCCCAAAGGTCTTACTTTCTACATCTTCCCCTCTCATTCTTTTCTTCACACCTTTCAAAATATCCCGTACATTTTTGACAATAGGATCTGCTTCTTGCAATTGTATCCAATCTTTTTTCTGATTTATTTGAACAGAAGCAGACAGTACCTTTGGAATCACATTTTCTGTACAAGGAAAAACAGCAATTAATGGCTCTTGGATCTGAAAACTATAAAAAATAGCTTGGTAACTATCAACTGTAATCTCTTGCTGCCATCTAATTCGAGAAAGAGTACCTGCTTCCACATTTGACTTGCCTGAAACAAAAAAAATGTTAAAGTTGTAATTAGATAGCTCTGCCACCCAACGTTGACCTGTGGAATCCAATTTTGCAGACGTTAGCATATGTCAATGGGTTGTTATCTGTTCTGATTATAAAAGAATTTCCATACAGGTAATCAGAAAATTTTTCTGTAACGGCCCATTTTAAAGATAAAAATTCCAATTTATGAATGGAATAATTCTTTTCACTTTGCCGCAAACCTCTACTTGCGTATGCAATTACCCTGTTTTGACCTTCCTGATTCTGGTAAAGCACAGCACCCAGACCAACTCTACTGGCATCCACCCACAATTCAAATGGTTTGGAGAAATCTGCAAATGCTAAGATGGGTGATTTAGTACATGCATCTATTAACTTTTCAAATGCATCCTGGTGCTCTGGAAGCCAATTGAAATTTTGTTGAGATTTTCTAGACTTTTTATTCACTTGGTTCTTCGTGAGTTCATGCAATGGGCGAGCTATTTTACTGAAATTTTCAATGAAACGACGGTAATATTCAACAAACCCTATAAAAGAGAGCACATCTTGTACACACTTTGGAACAGGCCAAGACTTCAAAACCTCAATCTTTGCTGGATCAGTTTGTACTCCATCTTTGGAAACAATATGTCCAATGTATTGGATTTTCCTCTGAAATAAACGGCATTTATTAGGTTTGAGTTTCAACCCATGATCTTGCAATCGTGCCAGCACATCTCTCAGCTTGGTAACATGTTCCTCATATGTTTTGCTGCGTAACCTAAAATATTAGTCTGAATAAGAAAACCTCTCTCAAATAAGACTTAAATCACAGCCTATATTTACATCTAACTACTAAATCTAGCGAAATATTGATTATAGAAAAATACGGGTAACATAAATATTTACAAGAATATATACAGTAGATCTACAATAGATTGTTTTACACAGTCTGTTACTCACAGTTCATTCCCGCGGGATTCAAATTACACAGTCCCGACAGCTAAAACAGGGTCCTTATATGCAAGTTTCAGTAGTCGAGGGGTTATACCACATGAGACAGCTTGCGGAACCTGGTCGCGCCTTCCAAGCACCAGTTACTAGCAGTTCGCCAGTGGGATCAGTACACGTTGCGTAATACATGGACGTTGTGGGCGTTGTCCCTTTTCAGTCTCGTAGATATCGGAACTGGATTTCAGGTTATATGCATCACACTGTTAAACTCCACTTGCCGTAACAATTGCACACTCTGCTTACACTTCTGTCATCTGCCGACTCAAATGCCTTGTCAGAGCTTTGTTGACATCGTTCACGTCCATTCAATTAGCCAGGTTGTCAATCCCTCATTGACAATGATCTGATTGGCATCATCAGTGATGTGGGCAGTCTTCCAGTATCCCAATCTAGCCACACAATTGAGTTTACTCGGGTCCCTGTTCGGACGCCAAAAATGTAACAGCTTTCACTGTACTTTATTAAGAACCCGAGTTTACTCTGTAAGTTGACGTGGCAGAAATGAGAAACGAATGTCCCGCGTAAGAAAGAGGGGCGTGTTGTATAAAGAAACGGAGACACACGAACATAAACGAAAAGGCACGAACACACTACTCTACACTAACACAACCACAATCATACATACACAACCTCATATATATATATATATATATATATATATATATATATATATATATATATATATATATATATATATATATATATGTTACATGATAATAATAATAATAAATGCTAAAAAAATGTTTATTTTTCCTGTAGGTCCACAGATTTTCTGCCCAAAGCTTTTGAGTTGTTTCCAGAGAGGGACTTTGCAGTGATGACAGTTCCACATCTAGTGCCTGAATTTCCACTGTTACAAAAGATGGTGGTATGTATTTGTGTTATTATGATATTATAATACAAATGGAAGAAGTCAGGAAAAGGAGAACACTTATAAACAATGGTTGAAAGTAGAATAAAATCTGCTGAAATGGAAACCTCTTTTATACGACTTGTACCCTTCTATTCTTGGATTAGATTCATTTTGGAAAGGATGGTGAAATACTTGTCTGATTATTGCTATGAAGTCAATAATTCATTCCAAAAAGCTGTTGCTTTCTATAACACTCATTTCTATAACAGAAATGGGGTAAGAATCCAATTTGATTTTATTTTTCTTAGATGCTATTGTTTTATATTGTTTTTAGAGAGCCACCCCACGGTGCCCAAGTACATTGTCACAGGAATTATACCTATTTCATAGAGCTGGTTTGATAAGGTAAACATATTTAACTGATAAATTATGTCTGAAAAACAATCAGTTTTCATATACTGATCAGGCATCAATCCTTTCATATATATATCAAAAGATAAAATACCTTTAAAATACCTTAAAATACCTTTGTGTCAATATTAATATTAATAACTGTGATGTTACCTGTTGATTGACACAATAGCCTGGACAGACACTCTATCTGGGTCAGAGATTGAAAAAAAAGCATCTTACTTATTTAAAAACAGCTGATGATTATTTTTTCTACTGAAGAAACATATTTCTGTTTTTGGAAAAGGAATTTTGAGATCCGGCCTGCATGCAGTAGTGATTATGAAGCAGTTGAAAAGCTAGTGTCATCCCTAGACCTTCATGAGAACTTGCTGGCTGACCTCAAGCAGTTCAACAAGGCCAGAAGAGATGATGTAAGTGGGACATGGTACACTGCCAGGGGTTTGTTTCACAAAAAATATTTGGCTTGATTTGGCTTAGCTTCGTGGACTTTGAGATACAGATCTAAAAGTGTTTTGCCAACACTTGTGTAGCTGACAGTCCTAAATGGGCAATTGTCACCTCTGGTAGTAAAATCAAGACAGTTTGAGGGGTTATGTAATAAAAGCGGCCTTGTTTGGCCAAATCACGAACAATCAATACTCCTTGTTGCCTTCTTTCTTGCTATGAATGAGACCATAAAAGTTTGTGGTACACTGAGATGGAGGAGACATAAATGAGCTTAGTGGCCTTAACATTCTATGTGAAACATCTTTTTTAGCTTAAATTCTTAGTCTTTATCCATTTTAGACTAGTTGTTTTGCGAAAGAGACTCCAGGGATAGTATATGGTACTTAATTTGTAAACTGTATATTAATGATAGAGGCAGGCATTTGCAGTGATCATTTTAAAGTTTTTAATTTCAGAAATCTCACTCTCTGCAATGAAAATCAGCTGCTCCAAGACTGTTAATTTATCATCTTATATTTGTATAACCACTGTCTTGTAGGATGGCACACCAATTCAAGCATTTGTGGCTGACTGCAGTGGCCAAGTTGTCGGCATTGCCATCATCAGGAACGAAGAGGTGAGAGACACACAGATATGCTTTACTAATATATGTGTAAATTTGCCATTTATTTGGTTTTTAAACTTGGAGGTAAACTTAAGTGTCCAAGCAATTTTTTTTTGCATTAACTTTTAATGTTAATTGGAAATGAGATAATGGTATATAATTTGCAACAAATGTGTGGATAAATTTTTAAGAACCCCTGTTAATACTATTTTTCAGGACATAGAATACATTCGCTCCCACTACAATATTGAGGACTTTGTGTATTTTAACCATCACAAGAGAGATGAGCATGGTCATATCCATCACTTTGCAATGAATCCAGCATTCCAGCACTATTCTAAACACTTCTTGAAGGTACAGTACCTTCTTCTAGGCTAACTTGTCATAAATTTATATTATTTTAATTATGACATGCATGTCACCCGATCTGAATGGGAGTAAAATTTAAAAGACATGCGAATCCACACACACGCATGCATGCACGTGCACGCACGCACGCACACACACACACACACACACACACACTAGAGTTACTATAATAATCTATAATGCAGCTTAACTTTATCAGGGTTCTTTCCACCCCAATTTCCAATATTAGATAAGACATTTTGTTCTTTATTGCTGTTATTTCACTCAATGCTTAATTGTTAAAATTTTTTGTTGGTTGTAGGAAGTGTTGAGGCAAGGCCATAAGACCTGTTTGTATTATCCCATTTATCCATCTTACACCCCACGTCAGGTAAGTGATGGGTCGATTTCACCTCGAACCAAAATTGTTGGTCTATTTTGACTTAAGAAAAGATAGTAGGAGGCCAAAAAGTAACATTTTAAAAATGATTTGAACAACATTTCTTATGTCTAATTGGACTACTACTCTAGATTTATCCTATATATCAAATTAATATTAATAATAGTTACTACTTCCCTTTTTGCTTTATAATGGCATTTCTATCCCAGTTATCATTACATAGAGGTGCAATATTTCAGAATCATTTTGTTCAGTTATAAAGTGGTCCTAATAAGGTTAATCAGTGATCTTTTCTCTTACTGGTAACAATAACAATAATTGTATATTGGTAGTATTTAGAGATTTTAGAATACCCCATAATTTTACCTAAACCCATTCTTTCCTGTTCTCAGATTGTGGAGAAGCATTCCCTGATAACAGCCATTAATGACTTGGTACCTGTGCGAGCTCGCAGACAGATCATCTACCCTGTGGAGAACCTGAGAGAGAATGCTCCCTCTGAGAGGATCCTGCAGGAGAAGGAGCCATATGCATTGTGCCACATTAACAGAAAACTTACTCTGGAACCAAAGGTGAAAAGTGGTGAATCAGTGAACTACTAATACAATTGTTTTGACCTTCTTTGATTCAGGATTATTCTGCAATAGTCAACACAAATGAAATATTGGGCTTGAGCTAGAAGCAGAAAGAACTGAAAAGTGGTGAATCAGTGAACTACTAATACAATTGTTTTGACCTTCTTTGATTCAGGATTATTCTGCAATAGTCAACCCAAATTAAATATTGGGCTTGCGCTAGAAGCAGAAAGAACTGGCCATTGCATGCATTAAAAATAGTTAATTGATTGACACCGATTAGAAAGAAACATCACGTTGGCTTCTTAACCCCATTCCCAAGGGATGTCAAGAATATGTATAAAAAGTGTCAAGAAAATGTGTGCATGTTTGTATATATTGTCAAATAACAATTTAATTCTTGCAGAGTGGTTAAGATATAATAGTAATCATGAAGTAATCATGTTAAAAGTCTGACATTAAAGATTATTATTTAAGTTTTTTTTAATGATCTCATATGTCATATTCATTTTCTGTTTTGTTTTTCTGAAGGTTGTCATTAATGCCCGTATTGTGGTGGTGGGAGCCTCGGATACTGGGGTGGCATTTTTGGAGACTTTGGTGTTCTGGTACGTGGATCCATAGATAAGTGGAATTAAAAAGAAATCTGTGTGAATTTGAACATCATCAATAAAACATTATATGTACAGTAGTTTATGGCAAGGGTAATAATGCAATAATCTTTATTATCATATACTATCATATGCATATACTATTCTGCTAGCTTGGAAAATTTCACATTTAACAATGTTTATAGACAAAAATAATTGTGAGTGCATTTTAAGGCTACCTGCATGTTATAGTAAATGCTATTAGTTTTGATTAAGCCAGTTATAATTGTAAAAGGTATGTGCAAAAGCTGTTTTGAATATGAAGCTTGGTATTTGTATGTTAAAAGGAAACTCAACACATATCTTTTGAAACCAATTATGAAAAGAATTTTTTTATAAATGACCTTTTAAAGTGAGTGATAAAGTAACATTTTAAATTTGTACTTTGTAAGTTTCAATCAATTTTTCCGTTTTAATAAATTTTTTCTTTTCTTTAATTAATGTTTTTATTTGTGCACATTGCATCATAAAAAGACTACTGAAGAAATTTGGACTTTAAACTCAAAATAAATATTATTATTATTATATTATTATTGTCACTATTTTTTATTATTTCAGTCCTCACCTCCGGTTTAATAACATCACCCTGGTGTCACCGCGTGGTCTGCCAGGTGAACTGCCCCCAGACCAAGTCAAAGACAAACTTCTGGGATCCAGGTACTTTACACAGACACAAAAGCACAAGCACGCACGCACACACACACACACACACACACACACACACACACACACACACACACACACACACACACACACACTAATACATTTTTTCATTTCAAGATACATGAAGAAATAACACAACACATTTTTTAGTAACCATGATGACCACTGCTACTCAAATTCCCACTTTGTTGTAGTCTACAAAAATGCTTATTATTGATATATATATCTTTTTCTATCTATCTATGTATTAATTAATATTTCATGACTGTTCCAGTTTCTGCTACAACCAGGAGGACTATGCCAGGTCGTCCCTGAGAACATGGGTCAACGTGGTGTATGGCAAGATGACAAACATTGACAGGTAACTCACACTCTGCTAAAGAAAATCAAATGCTGGACAGGGACGAACAGAAGACATCTTTTGTGTCTTTTACGAAAGACAGTCAGAATTTGTTGGAAGACAGTCAGAAATGGAGGATGGATCAACAAAGATAATTTGAAAGACTGTCAGAAAATATCTCTGGATCTGTCCCTGCTGGGTTTGGTTTATATTTTTTCTCCCTTTTATCCAACCATAATGACACACACACATGCACACACACACAAAAAAAAAACACAAAAAAAAAAAAAAAAAAAAAACGCCTTTCTTCATGGTTTATGATCTGCAGTGTTTATCTAGGTTGAGATTTGGGAGTCCCATGTGTTCTGCTTATCCATTCTTTTACTCATTTTAAATCAGGAAAAAGAAGAATGTGATAGTGAACAACAGCACAATGGTGCCCTATGACCACCTCATCCTGGCTACAGGCACCCAGTACCAGATCCCAGCACCAACCGGGGCAGACATCAGCAAGTTGCAGACCAGCAGCGAGGCCCCCTATAGTCCAGATAGGTGGCACCAGGGGACACCACCGTCCAATGTGTTTATCATCAATGATGAGTACCAGGCTGCCATGGCACTTTATTGGGTGGAGAATAACTTGATGGTCACGGGAGGTTAGTGTTGAGGTTTATCATGGGGTCAATAGTGAACCGACACAGACAATGTGGGGGGGGGGTAAAAGAATTTTTTACTCTTAAAAGAATGAAATTTAACAGTTGGCTCATCACAACTTTCTGATAGTACTTAAAAGTTTAAAAGTACTTTTGTAAGCCCTTTAGCCTGCTGCTGGTTTAGCAGAAAACTTATTAAAAAACACATAAACTTGATTTGTATGAGTGATTTGAATGAAAAGCTTTTATTGTGTTAAATCGCATTATATCAAAGTGAGTTGTTAGACTCAAAAGTAACTCTTAGAGTTTTGCACTTTTTAAGCGATCCTGCAGACCACTGTTTACTCAAATATCATTCAAACATTTCCAGGCAAGGCCTTGGTGTATGGAAACAGTCTGGATGCCTTCTGTTGTGTGCAGACATTGATGAAAATGGGAATACCTGGTGACAAGATTATACTGGTGGAGCCACCACTAGAGGGACCTGTAAGCAATGATTTTTTTTTTTTTTACAGAAATCTTGTATTTAAGATAATAATTGAAACTTATTTAATATTATTTATTTGCTGTGTTATATGGTTATATTGATTTTTAATTTAACTCATCTTTCAAATGATTTTCTATTGATATTAAATTTAAGTTTAATTTTATACTACACTAACAGCCTCTCTACATTGAAATGTAGTGACAAAGTGACATGGTTATGTTGTTTAGTTTACTTTGCCAATCAGACTTATTATCCACATTTTCAGACAACCTGCTTCAATAACCCTGATGTGACGACCGCAGTGTACGATGCCCTGAAGGCCAGTGGGGTTGAGGTGTATTCTGGGTACCTGTTAGCCCAATGGAATGATGGGAAAGGTGGCAGTGAAGTTATCTCTGCCTCTTTCACCTCCCATACAAAGCCACTGAGAGTTGAATGTGATGTAAGTAAATTGGTGCTAAAGAATGTATTAAAGATCTCAGTGTGCTTGTTGAGCCAGCTATGGGAGGGATATACACTGTACATTGCTTTCACCATAGATCATGATGTTGAGTACTTTTTTTTATACATGTCTTTTGTGTTCATCATTTTCTTGACGTCTGAGATAAAGACATAACATTTTTGGACTTAAAGATATGGTGATGGCTTTATCCTTTCAGTAGAGAAAACTATCCTGCTTACAGATACATAAGTTTGGAATCATAAAAAAATTATCTTCATATAACATTTGTGGTACTTTTACTGTATGGAATAGAACCACAGGGTAGTGTACTTTTCAATTTTCTTGTTACCACATAATGGGAATGTTCTAATTTTCAGAATTTATGACTCAAAATATTCAGTATCTGTAATATTTACAATTATCCCACTGAAAAGATTGAGTCAATTACTGTAAGCCTGTAATTGATTCTTGGTTAAGTGTGAAGTGTGGTAATTGCAAAAATATATTTTCATGAAATTGCATATTGATCTTTGTGAATGACATAAAGAAGCTTGTAAAAATCATTTTCAGTGAACATTTAATTGCTATGATGATGGCATACATCATCCTAACAGCTAAGTCCTCAGCCTCTTTGGTATTCCCCCACAAAGCTTCAATTACCTTTTTAATCTTTTTTCCTAATTTGCAAAGGGATCATATTTGATTTCCAGTACAACCTATCAACTGTTTGAGATCCAATCATAGGATTTTTTTGAAGAGACCTATGAAGTAAAAAAAATTACCTTTTTTAGATTTTTATTAAACCTATTCTCTAAAAGTCTATCTATTTCTTAAGACAACCATTGATTAAGACCAAACTTTCACATTTTTGCTGATAAAATCTTAAGTACACCTTTAAGAATTTCAAGATGCTGTTCTCTGATTCTAGCTACATAATCCCATGAGAATGGAACATGTAGTGATAACTGTTCTGGTAAACGAGAAAATCATGACATCAAAATTGACATATAATGGTGTTAATTCATCTGCCAGGAGGTTAAGGGGTTTTAGAAAAATAAAATATATGAAGGGTGTGTAATTATACTCTGCAGTGATGGGATGTTTTATTGGCATTTTTCAGGGGCAGATTTAGGGCGTCTTCTGGGTCTTCCAGAAGACAGTCAGATTTTCAAGTTTACATTGACGGGTATCTAATATTTTCTGTCGGAAGACCGTCAAAAATGAATAATGGATCAACAAAGATAATTTGGAAGACTGTCAGATAATGTCTCTGAATCCGCCCCTGTTTTTGGTTTCTATCCCTTTGTTTTTCTGAATATGACCACATGTTTTTGTTCAAATGAAGTAATTTTAGCATACTAGCTATAGGTAAACATCAAAGATTAGAGTAAACCCAATTCCACATCTATTTTAGTATTTTTGATCATATTGATAGAAAGTCTTATTGAAAACAGGCCTTGGTAAGATAAACAGGATGAAAACATCTTTCTAAGAATAGTTCTCTAACAACAATATAAAATGTCTTCAGCTGAAGTAAGTAGGCGAGGGAAATACTATCTCTCTATTATTCATGACTCGCTGTTGACTGGGAAATAAAAGGCCCTATAGCATGTGTGATTGCTTAGCTTAATTTCCAATTTTCATCAGAAAGTACGGTTGATTTACCTTTTTATGAAGACGGATGGTTGTGGACTATTTTGTGGTAATTTTTAGCATCCTTCATGCTGACAAATCAGTGAGATGAACTAATGTCTCTTTATTAATTTCCCTTTCTGATGTTGCAGGTGTTTTTCAGCTATTATAAAAAGAGAGTGGATTATGAAGCTTTCCGAGGTAATTGTAGAACCTGCATTTGAGTTTCTGATTGCAGTTACAAAACAAACAAACGGGTAAAATATACTGTTAATGGTAACTGTAAAAGCTAGCGAGCACAATCTGACCTTGCATTCTTGGTAGAAGTGCACTTGGTTAATACAGACTTTCCTCATTTCTTAATCCACCATTAATTTTAAAAGGGTTGCCTGTGTCCCTTTACTTGGACATGTAAAAAGTCATGCCATATTTATGCCGTAGCGTCCTCTCTTCAAACACACCTGTTGTCTGTCTATAGACTTAAAACTGGATAAATATCTTTTCTGTTTATTGGATAAAGCATGTCATCCAGTTAATTTATTGAATAATTTATTGTGATTAGGTTTATTTAAAGTTCAGAACTGTGAGAAGTGTTCGGTGTAAATATAACTGAATGCTTTAATAAAATATTTAATAAATGCCCAAAATACATCAGTTTTTGAAATCTTTTGGATGGATTGTCATGACAGATTTAAAAAGAATCAGAAAAGTGCACTTTTTTCTAAAGATTATGTAATAAAACCAAATTGTTTTTTTTTTTTTAATTGAGAGAAATTATTATTATTATTATTATTATTATTATTATTATTATTATTATTATTATTATTATTATTATAGCCATCAATGATGCCTGCTTGGTTTATGATGGGAAATTGGTCATAGATGCTACTTTCCACACCAATGATGTGTCCATTAGAGGGGCAGGCACACTGACCAAGTTCCAGCGCAAATATCATGCTGACCAATGGACACACGCCAACTTTAACTCTAAGGAGGTTGGAACACAGGTATGTACATTTATTTCTTTTTAATAAGATATCAATAGGAGCCTATCACACAAAGAAAGAAACCGAAGAACTAAAATGCAAATTTCAACAATTTCCTTTATTTACTTTATTTCCTTTATTACTTTATTATTTATTTTTGCTATATAAAATTCTAAACCTCATTTTGTATCGAAAAACTGAGAATGTAGGAGTTAAGTTTTTCATCAAATGGGTGTTTGTTTTTCAGTATATTTGTGGAATATTACAGTCTTTCTAATATGTATATGGTGAAGCTTAAAGCACCCCTTACACGTAAACATTTTACTCAAACAGACATGTAAAATTTATCTGAAACCTCATTAATTGATAGTAATAAAGTGACTGTATCAATGAAATCTTTCAGAGACATAGAAAAAAAAACACATACCCAGTAATTTATAGAAACTTATAATAAAGGTCATTCAGAAAAACATTGTTGTCAGTTTCAGCTATGATTATGTTTACACTAGGAAAACATGAAACAGTAATTAAAAAGGCCACCGTATTCTGACAGCTTGATCTTTCCAGGAAGTATGTATGTTGTGTTTAGTTTCCTGCATTAGATAGAAATGTAAAAGCAACCAGTGATTTTTTTTCAGTTGTTGATTGGTTTTAGGCAAGACATAAAAGCAAATATGTTTGATCTTGTGTAATGCCTCTATTGGACACACACTGCATTGTGTTTGTGATAAATGAGAAAAAAACATCATTCAATAATGTCTGGGATCACTCACCAGAGCATAATGGCTTTTCCGCAAATTATGCTGTACATTGATAATACTTCTAATTGATTTTGTCCTAGCGATGATTTAATCAGAGGAAAAAGTCTGTGTTGTATAGATTTACTGGCTGAAACTGGAATTTTCCTTGTTGTTTTGTAAATACTGAATACTTGTGAATTACTAGCTCCAGTATTGGCACATATAATCAGTGAGAGTGCTTTGCTGATTTTGTTAAAGACCACTTCAGGAAATTGAGAAAAAAACATTGAAACAGTAACTGATGATAAAGATATTGTTATAGGCATTTTATTATGGTTGAAAAATAGATAATTTACAGTAAAGATAACATCCATTAAATATCGCGGAATGTAGTGAAAGATGTCAATACAATTCAATAAGTATACATTCAATACAAAAATATTTTACGTCAATCAGTTTATGTTGAGTAAGCATTTCAGCAATCACAGTAATTCTTTGTAATCTTTCCATGGATAAATGTATATTTATGTGAAATAAGAAATGCATGATCAACACATAATAGTGTTGTTTTTTTTAATAAGCATCTTTCTTTTATGATATCTACTCAGTCACATGTGACCATATATAATAAAGTACCTCTTAGGAATTGAGATAAGATCTTTTCAACACAGTGATCAGTTCACCTGACTACAGCCACTTTTAACATAGAACGACATAATAATTCAAGTGCCGCACTGTTGATATGTATATAAACTGGAATACACAAATTGGCATTGTAAGGAGAAAGACTCTTTCATAGCGTCCTGATTGTGTTAAAGTGATTCCCTGCATTACTTCTTCTGGAGACAGTAGGAATATCATCCGATGAAGTATAATTGCCAGTGTGCTTACATCCAAATACTTGGGCTATAGCTCCGTGGAGTCGCGAGTTGGTATAGGCGTAAATAAATGGGTTTACAGCAGAATTTGCATGACTTAAGATTATGGCCGCGAGGAGGAGTTCATAGGGATATTTACAGTTCTCCGAGCACAGGAGAGTCAGGGTGTTGAGGATGTGCAGAGGCAGCCAAGAGAGAGCAAATAATCCTATGACTACGGACAGCGACTTGGCTGCTTTCAGTTCCCGCCTAAAGGCTCTTCTGTGGGTATGATCGGCTGGGCTATCTTTGATCTCCAAAGCTGCTATCTGATGATTCTGCTTGCGAACCACGTTAAAAATGTAGCCATAGATTAGGAGCATTATAATAAGGGGTATGAGCACACAAATGAAAAAGTTGAAATAGACCATGTATTTCATGTCGATCACTTCTGTGAATCTGCAACCATCTTTATCTGGCTGGCCCAGGTTCCAGCCAAACACTGGCACTAGTCCAATAAGTATTGAAAATATCCACGTTAACGCATTCAGGATCATGGCCAGCTTTTTAGTCCACAAAGCTTGGTATTTGAAAGGGCTCTTGATGGCCGCAAACCTTTCCAAGGCTATAGCGAGCAGGCTGAAGATGGAACTTTGCGTGAGAACCACGAGCATCGAATTAACAAGCAGACAGCCATAAAAGTCTCTTGGGAGGTTGTTGTCAGACAGGATTGCAAAAGGAATCCCGATTAGTCCTACTAGCAAGTCTGCCAGGGCTAGATTTGTAATGAAATAGTTAGTGACAGTTCTCAAACGTCTGTTTTTCAAAACTACATAGATCACCAGAGAGTTGCCAAAAATTGCCACCACGGCAATTAGCAGTTCTGCGGCAAGGTAAATCTGCCATAACAGTGTGTATTCTTTTTGTCCTACACCCTCTGTGCTGTTGTTACTCATTGTGTGTCTTTTGAATTAACAGCAGAACTGTCCTTCCTTTTATAAGGTTGGACCAAAGATCATCTGTCATTTACATCCACTTGACGCTACTACGCAGCCTAAACCCTACTTCCAGGAAGACAGTTGCTGAATTACCTTTCTCATTTGTTGTCAGGTTTTATTGGCCTTGATTTTCCTTTTTTTCGAAGTCACTTACGAGGCCCAGGAATTACTCTGATTGGTTGGAATTTCTGCTGATGAAGTTCAATGTCACCTTGTTTGAGATTTCACACTTGGACTCTGATTGCTATTTAATGATGATTTGATTTCATAACCTCATCCACTTTGTGCTTAGATGAGAACACAATCATGTACGCCGTGCCTTAAGTAACGGCAAGAAAAAAATATCAAAGGGGCGGATGACCTTTTGTTTATTGATAAGAAATTGCTTCTTTAGGTTGATCTTAATTTGCTGTGATAATGTAATGGAAATGTCCCTATTCGGTGTCACTGCAAAAAAAAAAAAAGAAAAAAAGAACAAAATGTGAAGAACGCAGAATACTGATAAGTTCATGATGATGAGATTATCTTAAACAACACTGTACACCAAGAAGATCAATACACATAACATATTGTCTTGGATTTCTAATTGATTGGTTGCCTTGATCTTGGTTTTGCAGACAAACTGTGCCCTTTTTTCCCCTTTCTGTATTACAATAGCAAGGAAAATCCAGTTAGAAGTGCCTGTTGCTGTGTAACCTGCACAATTAGTCTAATGGTTTCCGTGATTTTGCTAGTTTGCACAGCCTCCCAGTGAATCTCTAAAGCTATATGTAATTTCCCAGAGTGCTGGGCCAGACAATAAAGTGTAAGTGGTAGGTGCCAATAACAAAAGGCCTACCTGCTGGCTAACGTACTAGATCACACTGATTTCTATTTCTGTAGATGTTGCCTCATTTTGACCTTAACCTAGAAAAAGAAAAAAATCCTTGAAACAAAAAGAAATAAAGAGATGCAAAAAAAAAAGAAAAAAAAAGAAAACATACTGATAAAAGATGGGTCCGAATTTTCATAATATTACAAAGAAAAAGGAAAGCTTTATGTTCTAATTTATGACAAGAAAAAGTGATTAGGCTCAGTTCCTCAAGGAGAATCAGCATTCACTCTTGTAGTTTAGTGCTGTTGTTACAGTATTAGGAAGAAAAATTCATTTTCTTGAAATGGTCCCTTGAGAATTTTCCTGAAAATGCTTTGACTAATTTTTTCTTGTACTTGCCAGACACTGTGGAAGATGTAGTGTCACATAAAGTTTTCTTCTGAAAGTCTGTTTAAATAGGTTGATGCCTATATTTTGATTATTATTTTTTTTAATGTCAAACTCTTATCATTTTGACCACTTACAAGTATGTAAATATAGAGGATATTCATGTTTTGATTGAAAATAGAGAGAAGCTGCTCAATGTAAAAAAAAAAAAAAAATAGAATGAAAATAACTTAGCTTATATATTTGTATTTTTGACCACTAATGTCATCCTGTTGATCTTATTTTATTTTTGACTCACTGACCAATTGACTGCAGTGACCATTTATGCATAGGTCAGGGGAGAGAGAGAGATGTGGCATGTATGATGACACATGTCATAGGGCATGTTCATATCAGCACTAACTTAGAGCCCATTGTCTATTTCAATTTTCAAATTCTTGGCTCTGGTTTCACAAAAAACTTAAGCCTGAAAATTGGTTCGAAATTTTGGGTAAAAAATTTGGTTTTCTGCAGTTCAAGATAAATCGAAAGTAATTTCCAAAGCAGTACACCAAAACAAAGAGAGTATTTGTCTGAAACATTAGCTATACCTTTCTTAATTGTTATAAAACAAGCCGAAGTGTTTGATTTTATGGAGCTACTGCTGATATATTTTCAGACAACTTTCAGACCAAAAGTTCTATTCTGAAACTGGTCTAGATTACTGTTGGACATAATAACGATGGGAGTGGTGTCGCAAAGCGAGAACAAAGGATAACATGGGAATAGTGCGAGTACAGGTAGATCACGTATCGCGGTTGTCGCTGAATGTTTGAATCATTTGGCCAGGTAGATGGCAATCCATGAGATTACAAAGGGATTCGTAAAAAGCTTAGAATTTTAAGCTCCATGGAGAGCAATTGGTTATCTGTTGACTGTCATTGGGTCTGGACCTCTTGTGTGTTCAGTAGAGGACAGGCTTAAAGGTAATGAGGTTGTTGGATGAGTTGAAGGAGTGTTATGGTAAAATAGGCTATATTAACCACTTATTGTTATCATTGATTTTACTGTCTGTCTGCTCTTTGCCATTACCAGTATTTGTTTCTGCTCTTACAATAGGATTACTCATACATATTATGTAAAGTTATGTAACTTTCCTTTGATTTCTTTGGGAAATTAGGGGGAAGAAAAATTGTCCTGCAAGTTTTATAAATGATATGTATTTTCCTGGAATCTGCATTTGTAATAGTCAGGATTAATTTGATAATGCCAAATCTTCAGTATTCCTTGTCAGTGAATTATGTTTTATTCATCATAATGATTTCAGTTAACAATGTTTATCAGTTTTTTATGTCTTTAATTGTTCATATCACTAAAAGAATACAATTCAAGCAAGGACAATATATTTCTTAATAGGAAATTAACAGGTCCTTGCAAAAATAGAAATCTTTTTTTAATCAAACAAAATTTAAATTAACAATTTTACTTTTACTAATTTTTTGTGTGAAAATATAATCAAATGATTATTCAGTAATTTTGTATCATTGCAAAAATGTAATATGTAATATCCCCATAATGATATTAAGAAATTTGTAAGATATTTTGAAATAGTTTCATGAAGATAATATTGATGTGGTTTTTCTATATTAAAGTTAATGTGATGGTTTAAAGGAAATGGTGGACGTAAAATAAAAGGAAAAAAGTACCAAGAGACTTTTTTTTTTTAAATCACTGCATGATTTTGAATTTTGAAACATGTAATACATATTTAAAGATATAGAATTGGGCACTGTTATTATGTATTCTTGGTGGAAATCCACACTGTCTCAGTCTGCATACACACGCACACACACGCATGCATACACGCACACACACATACACACACACACACTACAGAAATATTGTCTAGATTTCAACTTGCCAGGTAGAAGCACATTATCATGATGAAGTACTTAAATGAATGAAAGACACAAAAACTGCCATTGTGTAAATATTGAAATCTCTGCTGTCCTATATGAAAATTAATTTTTTTGGGACAATTATTTCCTAAAAATCATTCAGTCATGCATATTTTCCATTTTAAACACCAATAAACTTTTGAACACAGTAATTTTTACAAGATGCTGTTAATGTAGATCAAGCATATTCATCTTTTTTTAAAATTAAAAATAAGATGTATAGATGTTTTCAAACAAAATATCCAAGCAGTTGGTAATATTAAAGAAAAAATACATAAGTATAATTTTTCCAACTGTATCAATCACTGTAATTCAATCTTAGCCAAGATAAACTTGATTTATAGATATAGCCTAATAGACTAATTTATTGATGCACTTACCTCTTTTGAAATAGTCCTGTGTTTCAAGATTTCTTAATGTATTTTTAGTCTCCGTGATATTGGTCTCTCTCTCTCTCTGTATTCTTCTTTAACTATGTGTCTGCACGTTCATCTCGGTTATTTGTGGACATTATGAGAGTTGTTCCGTCGATCGTCGGAGATATCGCGACTGTCAAAAGTGCTGTCACACTGCCAGGTAATAAGTGCCACGTGTTTGCATTGCAGAGCCAATCATCAATAATGGACTTGTTATGAGAAGACACTCAGCTAATTAAGCCTGTCAGTTTCAGGGAAATTTGACATTATCTGAGTGTTAAAGACGGATGACAGTTAATTTCCAAAGTTATGGCTTGCATATTTCCATGCATATGTTAAACTAAAAGTTATAGCCATTACAGTGTGATTTATTAATGTAGTAAAGAGAGAAATTTTTGTTCATCTCCCTTGTCTTTTTCTTTAAGATCTGTATGCTGTTTTAATTGTTTGATTCAATTATTTAAATTACCAAAATGTGGAAATATTTGTAGTACCCTCTAGACTGCTGGCAAACCAAGGTATATGACTGCCTCTCGGAAGTCCAAAACTTTTCGAGTATGACATCTTTCTGACGTAGGTCATATTCCAGTTTGACCAATTACCTTAAGGCAATGCATGGCATTGTACTAGTATTTTTTTCAATGATTTAACACAACAAAAATGGAATAATTTATTGTTACAAGTTCTCAATGTCAGATTGATGATTCAGAGTACAGCTCAGAAATGACCGTGTGTTTGCAAAGCAATGCATCACATTAAGCTGTGACATTAACAGATGTCAAGCAAATTGTCCCATCAGCAATATGAACATTTATTTTCAGTATGGCTATAATCATTAGGTTGTATGTGGTGGGAGTGACATTTTTTTCTATTGATGAGCTCTTAATTCTGATTTCTTTTGATGTGATTTTGGCAGGAATTGCTTGTTCTAAATAAGGAACGTTAAAAATTTTTGTTAGCTCCAAAGTTATGTTTGTGAAAAAAAAAAAAAAAAAAAAATGCATGTAGAAAAAATCAAAAGTTCTGAGGCTGTAAGTCTGCTTGTATATGTGGCATACTTTACATGGACATACCAGGCATGACAAACCAACAAGTTTGGCAAAGTTTGAGTCTTGCTGTAGGGAAGGGAAATGATCTACCTGACTAACATTCCTCCACATCATGCTATATATTTTCTTTTCAGAATGACTCTAACCACAGCATGTGTTCCATACAACATGTCAAAGACATAGTTTTGTTATTTATTCATCATATTTCTATGTTATTGTTTATAGTTTGTCGATTAACTGGTTTTTCTCCTTATGCCACAGGGATATAAGTTATAGATTAATGTACTGAAATTAAGAGCAAAACACATTATTGCAAGAACTGGCAATAGATAATGACAAATATCCTGTCCTTTTTTTAATTCTGCCGAAAAACAGTTTATCTTGTGCTTCATAAAACAAGTGCTGTACAAACAAATACTGTGAAAGGATATTAATTTAGGAGAAAAACACATGTATTTTATACACTCTGTCAGTTTTTTCAATTATAGATATTATCTATCAAATGCTATTAGGTAGAAAAAATTCCTTGGCACAGATGGTACACCAAGTGTTATGATTGGTCTGCTTCACAAATAAAACGAGGAAATTTCATCATTTTCCTATTAACATCTTTCCTGTTTTCCACTTATTATTGGATACCAATACCCTAATAGAAAACCCTCCCATTTCCTGGTTGTATTTTGACTTTGTAATCCTTTGATGACATATGACAGTGTCACTAAGTCACTAAGTGGCAGTTATTGATCAGTCTATAAGTTGTTTTAGTCATTAAATGCTCTCACATTAATTGATGACATACCCAATATTCCAGTACATCGATCATGTGTCTTTTTCACCTGCAGGTGTCCCTTCAACTATTTTATTGATACTTTACACTAGATTTTCTTACTGGCACCACACACATGAAGGACATTGATGTCCAATTAACAAGAAGTACTTAGTAGTACCATAAACATTTTGGTACGTACCACACTCATGAAGTACTCAGTGGTACTATATACCTATGGTGTGGTGCTACACATATGCGGTGCTCATTGGTACCATATACATGAGATACTCATTGGTGCCATACACAAGTGGTACTAAGTGGTACTGTGGTGCTATACACAAGTGGTGTTTAGTAGTACCATAAACAAGAGGGTTGTACCATGTAGAGGGGTGTTTAGTGGTGCCACACACCAGTGGTACTTAGTGGTACCATGCACAAGAGGTGCTCAATGATACCATACATAAGTGGTGCTGTAAGCAAGTGGTACTAATGGTATCATAAACAGAAGATACTCAGTAGAACTGTACACAAGAGGTACTCAGTGGTACCATACATGTATAAGAGGTGTTCAGTTGTGCCATACACTAGTGGTACTCAGTGGTACTATACACAAGAGATGCTCATTGGTGCCATTTACATTAGATACTCAGTGCTGCCATACATGTATGGTAATGTTAGTGTTAGTGTACACACTGGAATTAGGGGTAGAAATGCAAACATTTTACTTCTGAGATTGCGCATGTCATCGACATATGTCATGTTTTACACACTGAAATAAATTGCCAATATGGTGTAAGCAACTCTTACATGGTACTCAACTGGTTTGAAATGCGGGACATATCAATACAAACCTATCATCATATACAGAATAGGTGTATCTTTACATACTCTGGTGGTGGTAGAGATATCAGGTGTCCCTTGTTAAGTGCCTATTTATACGTTCTCAGTTATTCGAGTACTTCTACATGGAAAAGAGTATTGACTGTGTTCAAGAGCTGGTATATTCTTCATTATTCTTGGGCAAGTGTATGTGGTTAACATTTAGGTGGGGGTGGAGAAGTGGACAATGAGTCAGAGAGTATCTGCAAATAAATAGACTAATTAGTTCCAACTTTATTATGTTGAATGAAGGAAGGAAGGAAGGAAGGATAGGAGTAACTAAACAAATGAATGAATGAATTAATGAATGGAAAAACTAACCACAACTTAAATGATAGAAGTGGATTAATAAGGTAATCAAGTAATGAAAGAATATCATCAGTCAAAATTACCAAGCCTTTGAAGTGATGGGTAAATACATTTGCTTTGTAGTATATTGCTGAATTTTATTTTACCTAGGATATGGGTTTTTTCTTCATATCACAGCTATTTATCTTAGTTTCTTGTCATTGAGGGTAATTGAAAAGTTTGAAGTATTGTAAGGGTACATATTGCAAGAATACTGTAACAGAAATAGTCTTCTAATAGGATGTACATGTACTATGATTAGGTTTAAAGAAATCATTTTTAAGTTATTCCATCTTTCTTTAGAATTAAATTCTGAGATGCTTAAACAACTCCTTAACCATCATGTACTTTTGTCACTGTAAGAGGCCATACAGAATAGATCTGAGGATCTTCTGATCCATGGATCAAATATGGCGGATCCTACAAATATGGCATCCCTCCACACACACCATTTATTGAATTAAATCACAGCCCTGAGGTTTAATTGCTAGATCCCTGCAAGGATTGCGCGTGTGAAGGCAGGAAACCATCAGCGGATTAGTCGGGTCCTCTTTCATGGAGGGTCCGCCATATTTGATCCATGGATCAGTAGATCCTTGGATCTTCTGTTCTAAATGTCCTCTAAGTTCCTGTCACAGTAACAAGTTCCCTTCCTCTTTTGTATTTTAGCTGGCTAACACGATGCTGAGTCTGTTTGACCCCACCCTAGAGCCTGAGGTCGAACCCCCAGCAGAGGAAATCAACCTCATCCCTATGTACACCATGCCAAAGATACAGGAGGCTGAGCTGCCAGGTTAGTACACCCCACTGGGACATCCAGGATATAGTTAATAATTTATTCTCATATGGCGCATTCCATTGTAAATCTCAATGCCCCTTACACTTGATTTAATCAAGGAGTTATAACTCCTTGCTTTAATTAATGGAACTAAATATTACAGTTTAAAAGAGCTAAGTATTACAATTTAATAGAACTAAATATTACAATTAATAAAGAGTTAAAATGATGAAGTTGGGAGCTAGAAATGGCAATTTAAGGCAGGGAAGCTAAAGGAGGTGGTGTGTTACATGTTATTCATGTGCCCCCCTCCCCAGTCCCATTATATTGCCTTTACACCCTATACTCAATTAAAGGGGGGAAATAGCAAAACTAATGAGAAAACTTCTTATTGACAGAGACTTTCCTTATTGGACTTAGTATATCATGTCTAATTTTGATAACATTTTTGAAACCAGGAGTTGTGCAAGTTTTTCAAATGGTTGTTATCAATTTAATCATCTCGTTTTGGCCTTTGCTTGTGAACATTTGAACCATATAAAATATATATTTTAAAACATTCACTAGACTTGTATTGTGTGTTGGCTAGTGGTCTTCTGCTAAAAATTACAGTAGAATTAGAGCTTTAAAATATATTATCTTCTCGACAGAAAGTTCTGAATATTTCTTGTCTCAGGTGGCTATTACTACCTCCATGTTGGCAAGCCCAGCCTGAAAGTCCAGCTAGAAGTCCAGAAATCCCAGGCAGATTATGTAAGTACGACGTAAAGCAAAATAACTTGATTTGTGAAAGCCTTTCCTTCTGTTTGTTTTTTTTTAAATTAAAACAATTGCCTTATGGATATTCATTACACATTTATCATGCATGAGTAGTATTTAAAAACAGTTTTGATAAATATGCTACCGAATTGATAAAAAGTAGATATGGAATTTTAAAAAGTGATCTAAAAACCCATCAGTTGCAAATTACGCCATCTTGAAAAGAACTGAATGACTGAATGCAGTATAAGTACATATGTATGCTATTATGATTCTAGGGTTGGGAGCTTATATTGGGAACTCCAGGTGGAAATCCAGACTATTTTCGCCTTCATTTCAACCAGTATAGAAAGGCAGAAACTATCACCTGCCTTTCCAAGAAGGTGAGAGATTCATTGCTACTGATCTTCATTATTTTTGGCTTCGTCTTATTGATGTACTTTTGAATTATTGCCTGTCAATTGCAATGTCCCTTAGAGAGCAGGGTATCTAGACCAATAGCATTTTGAAGTTAATTCTAAAATGCAAATGTTTGTTCTACATCATGAATGTCTTTTGAAGTAATTCTTTATTAAATTGGGATAAAATATACACCTGTCTTTATGCAGACATTTTAATTGGTATTAGGTGAATTGATTTTATGATATTTGACAAATTATGAGGGTTATTGTTTAAAAAATATCCAAGATTATCAACACAATCAATTCACGTCTTCAGAATTGTTGCATTTGTAAATTCGAGTGCAGTTTATTTTTATCTAAGTAGACATATGTGGTGACTAAATAACCTTATGTGATTGTTTTTCTTCAGCCCCTTGACAGCAGCAATCTAATCTGTCTGTACGGTCTTCATGAAAGGTTCCTCAACAACTTAATATCTAGATTCCAGGAGGGTCTTATCAAGGATTTCTACAGGTAGAGTGACTCACAGTTTTATTCAGTGGTATTCACAAGTTCCAAGAAAAACATTCGAGGACAATTCATCAAAGTAAAAAGTCACTGATGTTAGGCATTCTCAAGGGAGGAAGACACAAGGAAACCAAAACTGGATATAGACTAAATGATGTCACCAGACACCCTGTTTACATCCCATGGGATCTAATTAATTAAGATTTTTTCTTATGGAAGGGAGAGAGAGAGAGAGATAGCCAAATATGTAAAGTCTACTTCACAAAATTTGGGTCCCAGACCATTTTACAAACAATTAGATGCTGTTAAAATACCTAATTGAGCTGTTGTTGCCACAGAGAATAGAGATAATTTTTAAGACAAATACTGCTTGTTTTTGATACCTCGTCAAAAGACTGAAAAAAAAAAGGTAGGCAGCTTTCAAAACCAATTTTCCATTTGAATTATTTGTCAAACATGGGGTCCACATGCAGTAGTGCCATTTAGGTGTGACATCATTTATTCAGTGTCCAGTCTTATACAGGTTGTGAACTTGCTGCCCTTAGGTCAGCTTTGTAAGATGTCATTAGATCAAACAAAGTTTTCCTGTGAGGAGGTTATTAAAGCTTAATGGTGTCTCCTGCCCTTTCAGCTACTTCCGTGAGACATGGTGTCTGGCAATATTCCACGACAGGTTTAATGACTTCAGGGAAGAGGTCAGAGAACTCCTCATCTCTCGGCCAGTAAGTAGTTTAAGCATTGTCCCCATTTTCCTTTGGGGTGTCTTACAAGGTGTACATATTTAAATAACATGTGCGTATCTATTTGATTAACATGTATGTCATGTGGACAAAAGCAAGAAAGGTTACTTAGTACTGGTTCTCTGAAAAAAAAAAAACACTGAACACTAGTCATGTTACGTGAGAAAAATCATGTTCCATGATGATGAGAATTTAAATTAATAATTAACGAATCTGTCAAAAACAAAAACTGAACGGATCCAGTTTGATGAATTCTACATAGCTAATCTAATTGTGCAATTTCCCATTTTCTCTGAATTGTTGATTGAGGAAAAAAAAACACTGGGGAAAATCAGATATCTTAACTCCATCCTTTGTATTATATTTCTGCCAGGCTGACAACATCGAGGCTCTGGAAGAGAAGGTCCGCTCGCTGATTGAAGAAGACCTGCAGCTGAACAATGCCCAGAGGAAAAACCTGCTGGAAGAGTTTGCCACCAGTGGCATCAAGAGGGCCGTGGAGACCAGACTTCTGAGCTTCATGCACTATAACTATTACCACCTGCCCATGTATGCCAAGCCAGGAATGGTGTGAGCTATACCATAATGAGAAATAAACCTGGGGCACTTACTAAGTAAACCTGTAAAAATCCCAGTGTATTTTTGATATGATAAATATTGATGACTATAATCCATTGATTGAGTTTTCTTGTGAGATACCAGACTTGGAAACATTGTGATTTTAGGTGGAAAAGAATTGTAAATATTCAGTGATGTATTTATCTGAGCATCGTGTACAAAAAATATATATATACATTCAGAGAAAATATTAGTGTTTAATTATTCAACTGAAGATTAAAAAAAAAAGAAAAAAAAAGATGGCAAATGACTTGCTCATGCTGTACTTTTTTTTGTTGATTCTGTGATACTAAAATATTCTGTTTATCCAGAAACTTTTTCAGATATACCGTCCAACTTTTTAAATAATTTTATTTGCACTGCATTTTTCAGATACGAGGTAAATTTCCTTTTATGGAAAAATTTATTTACATATATAATGTGTTTAATGTGAAATGGTTCACATTTATCATCCATTAAAGTGTGCTTTACAAATGTAGTGATGAAGTGTTTATGTAAATAAAAAAGCTGCAGTCGACTATGAATGTGTTCATCTCATCCAATACAGCTGAGAGAAAAAGTATCGCAATTGTTTTAAATCACAGCTAACACAACTCATTGAATTATCAGTTATTTATGGCTTCTGTCTAGAGAGTAAATAATTCAGTAATGACCGTATTGACTGCATTTAAAACTGGCCAAACTGTTATAATGGACTTTGTCATAACAGATAAAATGATAAATCCTATAATTTTATTTTTAAAATCTTTAGATTTTGTTTAAGAATTATTAATAGTTCACTATCTTTTTGAGCAGAACTGATTAAAGTTGACGGTCTAAAAATTCATGGAATTCTTTTCAGAATACCCATTACTTCACGAAAATTGGGTTTTTTGATGGTTCAAGTGATTTTGAAAACATGGAAATCAAAAGGCTATGATTAATATTAGTCCTACAAAAACATTTAACGGACAAACGATAACAAATGAAGTCCATTTCCCGTTTTTGCGTTTTCCTAAACGGCGTATAAATGATCCCAATCCTGGGAAATTTTTGTAGCCAACTATAGGAACAGTTTTCTTATTATAAACGCAACAAAGCTCTCTATTCCACTACTCAGTGACGGATTTAGAGGGGGGGGGGGGGGGGGGCTTCGCATCGGCGGACCCCATTCAAATAATCCTGGATCCTCCCTTGAACATGGTATCGGTTATGGTTATTTCATTTATTTCACTCAAAATATCCCAAACAATTGCATTACCATGAAAATAAAAAGGTGACCCAATAACCTCCCGAAAGAATTGAATTGGCTCAGTGATAGGGTTGGTGCATTCTGCGATGATCGATTTTTGTACAATTATGAATGATTGATTAAATAATCAGTATCAATCGGGAGCTCACAAAATATTTTTAAAAAAGTAATCAGTCTGAAAAATTGCATAGATTCGCCCTTCTTGTGAGAATAATGTCAACAGCAACAGCCAATCAAAATTCGTCATACCTGGTGTAATTTACATAATAATAAGGCGTTCAGCGCAGTGTGAGCTGTCATCCAGATCAGTCACTTCACAGCTGGGCCGTGTAAGAAGAGGACGCAGGATAGGTGTGGTGAAGTCGCAAGGCCGAATATTTCATTCATTGGAACAAATTTGTCTTGTGAGTACCATCTTTTCAGCAGGCAAGTACCAAAGGCGTACAGGAAGAGAAACACGTAAAGTTTATTTTGCGTAACTCGATAGTTTTAGACCAGTATATGGTAATTGGTATGGCTATCTCCATTGTCATTGGCATGCGAGTACTTTTCCGGTTTTGTGAGTTTCATACAACTTGTATGTAAGTGTCTGTCAGAAGCATGTATTAATTCGAAATCACACTGGACACTGTGTCGTTTATAATGATCGAGATGTTCTTTGCGCTATTTAAAGACGTTTCTTACAAAATTTCCGTATTTCTTCGAGTTCAAATTACCAAGAAATAAAATCCTTATATTTTCACTCAGCCTTGACTACTTGTTAGTCTGGGGGTTCACTGGATTTTGGAAAAGTTTTCCGTTAACAACATCGAGAAAAAAACACTGTCAAAAGAGGCATAAAAATATGAAGAAAGTTGTCATATTATATATCATTTTTTGGTGTCCAGATTCAGCCAAATTACAACCGAATTTCTGTGCGTACCTGTAAATTTGAAACCTGAACAAATTAGTATTTTGGAACAATTTTAGTTGATCTATCATGCAGTAAGAAGGTTATTAGCTGGAAAATCTTGCTTGATTTAAAGAGAATTAGTATTCATTTTTGCAACTGAAGCAGATACGTCAGGGAGAAATTTGTATGTTTCCGTGATGACACAAAATATTCCTGGCATCCGTAGGACGTTTTCCGGTTTTTATAATAACCTTTCTTTTACATGTTGTACAAGAGTGCTGTTGTACCGTTCATTATTAGATCTGTTAATTGTTCACGAGAAAACTAAATTATGCATTATGTCATTTGCCTTCTGTAAACTCTTTACTTAGTTCAGTAATATATTCTGTTCCTGGATGGAATTATACGTATTCGTTTAAACCTTTACTTTGAGAACGCTTTCCAATAATATGGGTCGTATTTTTTCCATGTCATTCTCGTAGTATAATAGAAATGGCTGTACGACAACTGTTGAAATTTGCGAAATATCGGTGAATTTTGGATCTTGAACTGCATGCCTCTTCCATTATCATTTTACCTAAGCTAAGTTTAAATGTTATTGGGATATTTAATTATGCCATTAACGTATGTTATTTTCATATTTCAGAACACTGCTGTTTCCTCTACCAAGATACTGCAAAATGCACATACGACTGATAGAAGCTGCCCTAGTCTTCCGTATTTTGGAACAGGACACGGACATGGACATGCAAAAGTTACATGTTGACAATCGTTCATGATTTTCAAACTGATAGCTTTTACATTAAATTTTCTGCATACTGCACTAAGATTGATCGTGTTTCATTTTCCTTAAAATCAGACATCAATTATTTTCATTATCAAATTATGCCATAAGGATTGATCGATATAAATAATGAAATAAATTTTATGATAAAACTTGATTTGATTTCACTTGACCAACCAGTTTCTCTTCAATTTTCTTATGTTATGCCATGTTTCATTATATAAAGCTACAGTATAATATGAAAAGCCATAATATGATCTCAAAGTGCTTACATATCACAACTTTCGAATCTAAATGTAAAGTTGCATTTCACCACATTGCAAGTTGAAATTCAAGTACAATTATTTATTATAATTTAGATGATGTACATTGTAGAAAAAATTCTATATTATCATTTGCAACTGCACTGTGACATTTGTGTAAGACAATGCTTTTTGCCTGAATAAATACTTTTTGAGGACGTTTTCAGTTTGATTTTATAGATACATAAGTGAATGTAGTAGCATTGCTGTACTCTGGATTTTAAGAACAATGTTATCTATTTGGTTGGGTGAGTCCATTTGTTTTTGAGGGAAGGCAGGTGGGTCTAGTACTCTTAAAATAGAGGGGTGACGGATGAGTTGAGTCCATAAAGTTTTTGAGGGCTGACGCGTGGGGTGAGTCCATTTTGCTTTTGAGGGGTGACAGGTGGGTCGATAACATTCAATTTTAAGGGATGACAGGTGGGAAGATTCCATTGTTTTCAAGGGGTGACAGGTGGGGCGAGTCCATTCAAATTAAAGGGGTGACAGGTGGGAAGGGTCCATTTTGATTTTGAGGGGTGACAGGTGGGACGAGTCCATTCAAATTTAAGGGGTGACAGGTGGGGCGAGTCCATTTTAATTTTGAGGGGTGACAGGTGGGGCGAGTCCATTTTGATTTTGAGGGGTGACAGGTGGGGAGAGTTCATTTTGATTTTGAGGGGTGACAGGTGGGAGGAGTCCATTCGATTTTGAGGGATGACGGATGGGGCCAGTCAATTACATTTTAGGGGTGATAAGTGAGACGATTAAAGATTGGAAGAGTATTACTGCATAGGACTACTGTACTTGTTATTCAAAATTGGTTTGCAAATACATTATTTAATCAGAAATAAACAAACAATTTTTTAAAAAATAGGACTCGAAGGCATGTGATCAGTTCTATATCATCACAATAAAAGGGCCCAATTCCTGGAACAGCCAATGTCATTTACTAAAAAAGCAGCAGAATCTTTTTACTTGATCATTTTATTCAGATTTGTATTTCAATTATATATATATACAAGTGTTTAGATAGTCAAATTGGCCGTAGCAAAAAAAGTCCTATAGAAAGCTACGAATTACATTAAAAAGTGAGGAAATGATAATCCGGATGATGGACAAATTTGTTCTCAAGTACATTGAAAATATAATGACATGGAACAAAATTTAGAAACAAAATTAAACTTCAAAAAGCGGGTTTGTAATTACACTTTAAGAATGTGTGTTTATAGAAAATCTTTTGGTTCACCTACAGCCTTGCAGCAGAATTAAGATTTTTAAGTACTCAAAAACTATCGTTTTTAATACCAGGTACGTATGCCAAGCTTTTGAACCATTCCACTTTCAAATATTTTCATGTACCAAAGCAAATCGCCAAAGCAATACCAAGGGCAATATTTACGGGTTATATTAGGTATATTGAATTTGAAACTGCTGAAACAGTTATTATATTTATATCTTCATACTCCTTTTGTATCTATTACTATGATTTTTCATATCAAAATAAAAAAATCCCAGACAAATATATTTATTCAATTCTCATAAAATAAATGCCTGAATAGGCGTAGAGTTCCTGAATGTGAACCAAAGGTAAGGCTGCTAGTAGGCGCATGTTGAGCTGTACCTCGGTAGGTTTCTGAAATGAGAAAATTATTTTTAGCAATTTTTTAGTTAAACTAACAGGCTGTTAAATTTTTACTAATGAAATGATATATCACACAGGATAGAGTGATTTAAGCACGCATTGGCTTATCCAAAATATAGGCAAGTCGGGGCTGTCTTATGTTAAACATGATCCAAAATGAATGAATAATATACTTGGAGAATACTCCTGGAATGCAGACCTCCATCAAGTTAATAATAATAATAATAATAATAATAATAATAATAATAATAATAATAATAATAATAATATATAAATACGAGGAAATCCAGATTCAGTTAAAATTGAAAAAATTACTTTCCAATCTGAATACCTGTGCGTCAAAATATGCAGAAGTCATTTAGAAATGTCTTGCTTAAAATCATATGAAAAGACAACCCATTTCTTTTGCGGATCGTAATTACGCATGCTATGTGTTATCGCTATACATCACAGAAGAAACCACCAAATAATTTCCCATTGACGGCCACACTAAGAAATGCCTGCAAAACTGCAAGAAGCAAATTTAATGGAATATTTCCTATCCCCATGGGCAGCAGACACACTGATATAACTCCCAATGGCACAAAGATTTACTGTTGAAAAGCTTTTTTCTTACTGTCAGTACTTGATCACATTGACCCCTCTTGTTTGTAAACAAACCACTGCACCGCTCACAGTCAGTAGCCCCCTCCGCCACAGGCCCCACGCTGCACGACACCCGTGTCTGGTCCTGAAAAAAATATGCATAGTTTACACCTTAGCCTGCTAGTTGACACCAGAATTAACCAGAGAACCAGAGGAAGTTTATTCACAGCCACAGTGCCGTACTCATAAAATATCGTTATAGTACATGTGGACAATTCTGAAGTAACGTGGGCACATTTTGTCCGCTACATAATGTTGAGATTTCTAAGGCGTTATACGTTTTATTAACAGTGTCTTTTATAGATTCACATCTCTTCATCTTTTTCTGAACAAACGATAAATGTAATTAAGTTTCCTTTATGCATTTTACGTAATGCGGTTGCAATCTCTTTTCCAGAAGTCAACATCATTTAAAATGAATAAGATTGCATCACCAAGTTCACAGCGAGGTGTCAAGATTCGGATTTGCCCAAGCACATTTTCAGTGACAAATAGAAAACATTTCTTTGCTTGGAAATGAATAAATGAAAAAAATTAAAACAATAACTTTATCATTTTTATACATACATTATTTCTGTTAAATGATAACTTCAAATCTAACGTCCCGGGTTCGAAAAGGGACGGGTACATATATCAATCCCGACCCCAAAAATACATAATTTACCCTCATACATGTAACATCGTGATCAAATAGAGCACTGTACTACGACAAAGTAACATACAATTTCCAAAAGAAGCAAACCAGCATCATGCAGGGCAGACGCTTAGGATGGATTAAATTTCTATGAGAAGTTTCATAAAAAAGAAGCTAATCTTTTTCGACTTTAAATTTGCTATGCGTTTTGGAGCAGAATGTAATTGGTGTCAGTATCCTTTGCGTTACAATTAACAAATCGCAATTCAGCTTTAAAATTACACAAATATATATATTCATATTTAACCCTCATGGAAAGCTAATGATATCAGAAACAAAAGGGTACCCAAAGGCACTGAGGGAAAGCTAAGAGAAATTATCCTTCACGTCAGTTAGATGTCATTATGCCTAGAGTGCATTTTTTCTGGAAAACATCGTCAATGCAAAACTAAGAAATGCTACAATACATCTGTACGGAACTTACGAAATACTGCTGCCGGTTTCAGGGCCATCTTTTCGGCCTACATGTTGCAGTAGCATATAATATGGCGTGGGATATCCTTCTTCTCCATCTTCTACTGACCTCGGTCCTATCTGAGTACCTGTCACCAAAACGCTCACCTGATTTACATAATGATGAAGAGGTCACCTACTTTCCGTGCGGACGCTTCGGTTTAAATTATCGTCTGGTTTATGAGAAGGCACATTTCCGTCTCGAAAAGAGGATAAGGGGTTGATAAAATCCTAATATCATACACAAAAACAACAAAAATAAAAACGCATTTTCAAATTCAACACGCTTGATATTGAATGACTGGGCATATAAATCAGTTTTTATAGGTAGAATGAACGAACTGGGGCGGGATTGTGATAGAAAAGACAGGAATTTCATTCAAGTTTACGGTACAGCGTAACCGTTAGGTTATTGATATTTATTTTTTTCTTTCTACTTCTTGAAACATAGATGGGCATTTTTAAAGGAAAACGTTTCAAAGTTCCACACGTTTAATGAACTGCCTTGTATGTTACATCCCTAGGCAGTTTTCCGTAAGTAAGCTCTACAGAATTAATATTTTTAATTTTTTTATGCACAAATAAAACACATTGAAACTGAGCAAAATAATTTAAAGAATTGGTATTTATTTGTATTATAACAAGTTTCTCTTGCTTTGAAAATTTTGAGAGAAAATGTTCGGCGCGTTGTTTCATTAAATCTTATTTAAAGTCTACTGGTTTGCATAATGGTTTCTGCAAGGCCAATAAATGTTATTTATGTTATTTATTGGTGAAATGCTGTTTAGTAATACCATTATCAGGGATCAGTTTCAAGGAAAAAAGATGTTTAAAGCCGTCAAATCATTGATTAAAAAACTGATAAGATTTCCCTTCAACCCGTGAATAGCTCAACCAAGCACAACTAGCACAATACAGCCTGTAAAATGGTGAAGATTTCCCACTGTAGTTATCCTCGTTTCCATTATGACAATGCTTATGTTACAGACTCAAAATTTTATATTTATCACCTAGGTGTTCCCAGTAATGCAGAATGTACATCCTGCAAATGCTCTTCTCTTCATGTCACTTGGGGATTAAGAATATTATCAAGAAAGAAGGAAGGGGACATTTTTTATTCCAGCCTGACCGCTTTTTTTCCACTAAAAGATGTTTTATTTTACAATTTTCTTTGAGGCTCAGAGTCTTTTTCTTCTTTGTTAAAAAAAAAGACTTATAAGAATCTTAACACTTGTTTTAGCAAAAGATTGACCTCCTCCCGAGTCTTTGTCTGATATATTAGTCTCTGGCATATATTTGGCGGCTTTATTATTCATCTAAGTGGCAGTGCATGGTATGCTGACACAAAAATGCAGTAAGTAATGTCTGGTCTGTCAGTCTATGTACCATTTCACCTCCGTTCACCCCCAATGCCTGATCACCGCACATCCCACCAAGAATTTACTTCATTGTAACTTAAGAATAGAATGTAAAATACCCCCCCCTTAAAAGCTAGCACTTATACATTTGAGAAATGCCCAAATACAGATGATCCTTTCATACATAAACAGGTAAAATGAATATATTTACTCTTAAAAAATCCTATTTGAAATAACAACAGGAGGCATAAAATATGAGCATCTCTAAAGTAAGCTATTAAAAATCACAAAACAAACTTATTTTCTTTGAACTGATATCCCATCAATTGTTTATTTTTCATGTAAATATGCATGTATGATCATAATCAAGAACAATATACACATAATCATCATATGACAGTATACAGGTGAACATAAATACAGTCAAGTTTCAGCTCATCTGCTGAACAGTTAGTAATACACGGCTACTTCAAAGCCAACACAAGAACAACTTTTATCAAAAAGTTACTACATCTGACTGCTAAGTCGGCTAAATAATTTACTTTAAGATCCTTAATTAAACTGGATCCAGGCTAAAAAAAGAAGACTATTTTCACAATGTGGAAGTCAATGAAGTGCACCAGCACTGATATAAGGTATAGGATGTGTGTAAAACCCGCATCAGTTTTTGCAGGCCTTGATAAGAAGCCTCCATTTTTACTGACGTATCTGGCTTTTTTCCATTAAAGCACCAATATTTTAAAGAGGTATTACAAAACTTAGCATTACAATATCAAACTTGCACGTTGCAGTTTCAACTTCTCTTTGTACAAAAAAGTTGGGCTCTACAGGACAACTACTGTTTTCAATACGTGGCCTTCAGTTAACAACACGGCACCAAGGATGATACACCCACTTAACATATATATATATATATACTTATATAAATTATCAGTTTGTAATTACACAATATGTACAGGTTTCTCTGTCACTTTAATGATATGATGTAAATCATAACAGTATATATTTTTTATTAATTTTTACTTGTTTTCACCAGCTCTCTGGTTAGCAAAGTATTTACCACTGAAATAATAAGAAAAACAAAACTTAAAAAAAAGTTTTTTTAGGGGATATCCTTTTTTCTATCAAATAATTTAACTCCTCTTTCCCAAATTACAGTTACTAATTAAAGCACAAAATTAAACATCCTAAAATCTGGATGCACTGAACATCTTGTTGGTACAAAAATATAACACAAAAAGGGCTTCTTTCACAGCCCACAAACATATCAAGAAATACACCTGAAATGCATGTAAAACAGCTTAAAAATCTCAATTTTAAGCATTTTCAGTTTAAAATTTCTTTAACATATGTAAACAAAAAAGGTTACTGTTACAAAATGATCTGACGAATTGTAATCAAATATCATCAAGATCACCTATCTTACTCTCAGCTTATAACAAATAATTGGAAAAAAAGTTACATAAAGGACAGCTCTTAAAAAATAATTTCACATAATATAACTGAATATAAATCACTCTAACTTTTAGTATCTTGGTTTCATAACATACAATTTCAAATTTCAAATATGCAACAAAGGCAAAAATTTTTCGTTCTGCGACAAAATTTTCAACCTGTCCTCATGTAAGAAAAAAAAATTCGATAAGTCATTTTCAATCTCATTGGAGTCATCCCCGGATGTCAAAGCAGGTCACCATCATGATGTGCGACTTGCAGGCTACTACTCTTTTTTCAAGGATAGACGTCTCTTTTTCCAGTGCTTCCAAATAGTGCGGATCGTCCCTCTGCATTTCACTGGCCAGGAACACTAAAATTAAATAGATAGAAAGGATTTGAATATTTGTCGCAATTTTAGGCTTTTCATTTTTTTTGGCATTCTTCATTGAACATAATTGTTTCCCACATTTTTACAGAGCAAATTCAAAAATTCAAGAGATTTTATCAGATCTAAAGACATCACATCAAAATGGTATTGGAAAATTTACTTAAAACCTCATTATCATTTGTACAAGTGGCCTAGATAAATTCAATAACATTGGATATAACTAATTATATATTGCTGGCATAATCAAAGTAATATATATTTTAATTACATGCAAAAAAGGTCTTCAGAATGAACTACTCATGCAAGAATTAAGGTAAATAAGAACTTTAATGTTTAATCTATTAGCTGTTTTAAGTGAGAGCTATCTAGCTTAAGGCAAATCCCTTAGTTTCTACATAATGTATTGATATATAATAAAGAGTACTGTGCAATCAAAGAATATGTATTTATATGTATATATAAAGTGCAACAAGTATAGGTATCTACCTAGACAGATTGGTATATAGTAGTAGAACACCTAGTAAATCAACATGTGGTAAAAGCTTAAACTGAGAAGGCTACAGTGAACTCAAAAGTTTGAACTTTTACCAAAATTACCAAAGTTTCCACATTGCAGTGAGAATGGACTGATGATTAAAGTAAAACCACTTTACAAAACTGACCAAAACAGCAAAGCATAAAACTAAATAATTTCACTCAATTTTGGATAACTGAAATAACAATTTACAATCATGCTTCAAACACAAGCTAACATTTCAAACTAAAGTGTTCACACCAATGCTAATATATGATTTCAAACAGAAAGGAGTGTGCATTAAGAAGTCAGAAATGAGTGCAACAGGGAAGTGAAGCATTGTGTTAATATCTAACTATGCATACACACACATACCAACAGCACTAACAATACAGAAATGAAAAAAAAATTTTCAAAAATAAAGTTCAACTCAAAATAATCAGCTCCTTAATGTGTGCAAAGTATATGTAAATCTCAGTCCATTCTAACTACAACATCTAGACCTGTGTATCCCACCACCACATAAAAAGCCACAATGATGTGGAGTTGGCTCACCTAGACTTATTGCACACGACAGCATGTGGTAGACTTACAATCGTAACTCCAAGCACTCTTATCTACCATAAGTTTATCTTTTGTGTTCGCCAGCTCTTGTTTGAGCTCTGACTGGCGATCCATAAGACCCTGTATTTTCTTCCGCCTGCCATCTAATTCTCGTTGCTAGAAAGAAAGAAGTCAACAGCATGTTGACAAGCTGGTACCTATGTAAGGTTGCTACTCATTGCCTATCCAAACTGCCAAGTGGTCTGACAGCTAGGGAGATACTAAATGACCATGCTGTTAAGAAAGTTACACTACATCAGCAATGCTGATTTTTCAATCAAATGTCATATAAACCACTTTACTGAGCCAATTGAGAAATGCAGTCACAATACAATATTGAAAGTACATGCAATCCAAGTGTTATGCTGCTGCTGGGCTGTAGCCTAGGTCTGTAGCAAATGGATTTGGTGAATAACTGAGTGCAAATGAGAAGAATGTTGTGGGGCTCATTATCATGCTGCAGACGTGTATTTCTCATAACTCTTATCAATACAATATGTACACTCTGGAACAGTTCTTTACCTCTGACGTTTCCCGTGATCGCGCTCTCTGCATTCTCTCCACATCATCAACATCGTACATTTTCAGCTCAAATGGTTCATCACGTGTGCCCTCTGCTTGCCGGGTGTCTACCCAGGCTTTTGGTGATGCGGCACAACGTTGGCTGCTGGGGCTCTGTGGACAGCTGCTGGGGGAATTGTCTGAGCGAGCTGGGGCAGACTTGCTTCTACGTGCTATTGAATAGAATAGAGTTACAAGTAACCTCATGGAATAATATCAGGAAAAAAATAAAGAGAGAAAAAAGAACCCTGGAAGACCGTGTTACTCAAAAATGATTTCAAAAACAGATTTAATCCTTATTTATAAAGAACCCCTTTACCATTATCCACAAAAAATAATAGATCTAATATGTTATATATCTTTATGAGAAGAGTACAACTGAATATACATACAGCGTATCATATTTACTTATCAACTTTATTTACTTATCCTGTAACACTTACATGCAGTCCTCTTTTTGAAAATCCTGTTGCCCCTTATCCAACCACTGGCTGAGCTTTCGTTGGACGAATCGTGTGTTGAAGATGATGTGCACGTGATCTCGCTGCTGTCTCTTATCATGCTCTCGTAGCCGCTGCTCGTGCCACCATGGAGACGCTCCTTCTTGGTGACGACTCCACTAATGCTGCTACTGTTGTCACTCCCATGTCCACTGCTGGAGTGGCTGGATGTCCTTGCTTTGGTCAGGGTGGAGTAAGGGGACAACAGCTTTTTGTCACCAATGCCGCTGTCATTTCCACTGTCAGAATCACCTTCTCGAGTTTTCACAAGCTCAGTGACCCTATTGTTGCTTGCTTTGGTGACAGGCAATTTACTCTCTTTTTCCTTCTTGGGACTGGCTTTTGCTACTTTGGGGGATATCTTAGAGTCTTTACTGCTCTGAATGCTGGCTTTGCTAGATGACTGTGGAAGCCTTGATTTACTAGTTGGAAGTTTGGAGGTGGGCGACTTGCTTCGTGAGCGTGAGGGGCTGGCACTTGATCTGGAGGGACTGCTATTGGTGGAGCTACTGGTGGAACTGGGTTTCTGTGGCAGTTTGCTGGTCTTGCTGCTCCTGCTGGGACTGGGTGTGGCAGCAGGACTGGCAGGGACACTGACTGACCGTCCACCCTGCTGTCCACCACCGCCACCCCCAGCCTTAGGGGCGACACTCTTTGCTGGGGTTGATGGCTGTGACATAGTTCCACGAGGCAAACTACTGGACCGTATGGGTTTGGCTGGAGGGGGTGGTTTAGGCGATTTGGTGGCATTTGTCGAAGGTTTATTTGGCAATGGAGGTTTATTTTTGGCATAACTGGAAGAGGAGGCTTTATTCACAGGGAGTCGACTCTGCAGTTTGGGGATGCCTCTGGCTGGTTTGATTTTGTCATCTGCAGACTGCCCTGGGACCATTCTCTCTGTGACTATATTGCACTTTTGTGTGGTGATCTCGGTGGAAGCAGATGCGGCCACCACCTCATGCTGAGATTTCTCATCTGCTGTAGGGTCTTTATGCAAATTAGGATTAGAGGCACCATCTGGACGTCGGAAATAAGCAGGGCGGATATGGCTCTTGCCAGATTTGTCGGAATCTTCTGAAGATGGGGGACTCTGGTCAGCATTATGGACAACCTGTGATTCTGTCCTATTACTATGGCCATTTTCAGCATATATTTTGTCAGTGTCATTCTCATTTTTGGATTCTTCAACCTCTTTTTCAGTCTGTGGCTGTAGCTGTTGGTTTTCAAATAAATCAATGATTTC